CTTCACCACTCCCGCTGCCTCCCCTCCCCCCCTCTTCCCCTCCGTCCACAGCCCGACTCACCCTCCCCCCCCCCCCCTCCCTCGTCCCCTCCTCCCCGGATGGATGTCATGGTTGAATAGCCTCGGATAAGGTTCCCGCGCGGAAGACCAAGAAGCAGCGTAAGCTGTCCAAGTCGGTCTCGGGCTCGCGGTCGGTGGATGACTCGGGCTCGGCGTCGTGCGCCCCCTCGCTCTCGCTCTCGTCGTCAGGGGATGAGTCGGAGGATGAGAGCTCGGATGGCACTGCTGCGAGCATGGGCTTTGCTGGTGACTCGTTTGCACAGTTCTCGTCGTCCGATGACGGCGACGACGGCGCTGACGCCTCGGACGACGGCAACATCATGCTCGGCGACGATGACGATGACGAGGCCCAGGCGGCCGGGTCGACCGGCAAGGCTGGCACGCGCAAGCGGAAACTCAAGACTGGCGTTGTCTACCTCGGTCACATCCCGCACGGCTTCTTTGAGCCGCAGATGCGCGGGTTCTTCTCGCAGTTTGGCACGGTCAACAAGGTCAAGCTTGCCCGCAACAAGAAGACCGGGCGCTCCAAGCACTACGCCTTTATCGAGTTTGCCTCCAAGACTGTGGCCAAGATTGTGGCCAAGGCCATGAACAACTACCTGCTCATGGAGTCGATGCTCGTTTGCCAGTACGTGCCGCGCGTCAAGGTCCACCCCAACACCTTTGACAAGCACGACGACAGGTTCTTCGTCATCGACCACCACAAGCGCGATATCGAGCAGCGTTCAAAGCCCATGACTGAGGAGCGTGCCAAGCTCATCGCGAACCGGGCCGCCAAGACTGCCAAGGCCAACGCTGCCAAGATCGCCGCCGCCGGCATCAAATACTCGTATGACGATTTCTCGTCGTCCGACGACGACGACGATGATTCCGCCCCGGTCGCCGCCCGCTCTGCCAAGGCTGCCGACGCTGATGACGACGCTACCAAGGGCAAGGCTAAGAAGACCGAAAAAGCCAAGAAGACGCCCGCCAAGGCCAAGAAGGCCGCCGCCAAGGCCGAGGCCACCCCGGCCAAGGCCAAGAAGACGCCGGCCAAGGCCAAGAAGACCCCCAAGGCCAAGAAGGCCGCCGCCAAGGCCGAGGCCGAGGCCGAGGCCACCCCGGCCAAGGCCAAGAAGACGCCCGCCAAGGCTAAGAAGACCCCCAAGGCCAAGAAGACGCCCGCCAAGGCCGCCGTCGACGATCAGTCGGACGATGCCGAGCCTTCGCCTGTCCGCACCCGCCGCTCCACCCGCCGCTCCACCCGCTCGTCAAGAAACGCATGAGATGAACCTTCCCACTGACCATCCTGACCGCACTCCCCCCCCTCCCCCCCCCACACAAGCACCATGCTCCTTCACCTCGCGGCATGCCTCGTAATAGCATGGGTTGCACTCAACGTCGCCTCTGCCCTCGGCTGGCTCCCGCACGCGGCCTCAGTCCGCTCCCTTGTCGTCCTTCGCCTGCACCGCCCGTCGCCGCCCCGCGGCCTCGGCGCCGCTGCCGCGTACCTCACCTCGCGGTGGTTTGCTGCCGGCGCAGTCATCGGCGTCGCTCTCTGCGCTCTGGCGCTCCTGGCCCTCGCCGCTAACGCGGCTCTTGGTATCCATGCTCGGATGACGGCCATCGCTCCTGCTGCTGCCGCTAAGGATGCCACGAACCCGGAGGCCAAGCCCGCCCCTGCCCCACTGCTCGTGCCCATCATCCCGGGCTACAACGTGCTTGGCGGCGACATCATCGCCTTTGTCCTCGCCCTTCTTATTGCTACGGTTGTCCACGAGGCCGGACACGCCCTGGCTGCAGTTCAAGAGCGCGTTCGCATCCGCGGCGCCGGCCTCGTCCTTGTCGTCGTCTACCCGGGCGCTTACGTCGAGATCGACTCGGCCGATCTGGAGCGCGCAACACCAGCGGCTCGCCTGCGCATCTTTCTCGCCGGTGTTTTCCACAACGCTGTTCTAGCGCTCCTTGCACTTGTACTCCTATGGGCGCTTCCGCTTGCTGTCTCCCCGCTCTTTGCCTCGGCCGCCGGCGCCGGCGCCTACGTTCATAGCGTCGACCCCAGCTCGCCGCTCGCCGCCTCGCTGCAGGCCGGTCATCTGGTGACTCGCGTCGACGACTGCATTGTTGAATCGCCTGCGGCCTGGCAGCGCTGCTTGAGCGAGGTTGCGATGGGAGCGGCTCCGGCATCGCGATGCGTCGCTCGCGGCGACCTTCCACCGCGCGTCCGTGGGCCTGGCGATCCACCGCCGTGCTTCAGCATTGCTGCGGCTGGCAGCGTCGTGTGCATGAAGGCGTCATCCGCACTGAGCGGCGATGCCTGTCCTTGCCTGGCCTCACAAGCGTGCCTAACACCAGTCCTCGAGCCGGATGCCGGCATTTCGTTCCTCTATCGCATCACCTTCGCCCAGAGCCCTGCACACAGCGAGCAGCACATCTTTTTTACCGGTCATCCAGCCACGGTCTTTGCCGCGGTCCGCGTCGGCGATCTCTATCCGCGGCTCGGAGGCTGGCTTGCGCTCTCGGCGCTCGAAGCGGTCTCGTCCGTCCTCTCGTTTGTGGTCTCGCTCTCGGCCGGCCTCGCCGCACTCAATGCGGCGCCGGTCTACACTCTAGACGGCGAGCATGTTTACGCCATCGGCATGGCCGCGCTCTTCCCGCGCGCTCCGCACTCTGCTGCTATTGCGACGACATGGCTGCTCCGCATCGGGACTGGCCTGCTCGTCGTCAACATTGCTCTCTCACTCCTCCCATGACAATGACGACTAGGCCAGCGCCTTGGTCAGACTCTCCAGCTTGGTTCTCAGCTCGTCCAGCTTGGTCGCGTTACCGGCCTGCACCGCCGCCGGCACGCGGGTGGCGTAGTGCTCCCCAGCCATGATCTTCTCCAACTTGGCAATCTGTGCCTCCAACTTGGCCGAACGGGCGCCGAGCTCGGCCCGCTGGCTCTTGCTCAGCGTCCGCGCGGCCTGGCCGAGCGCCAATCCGGGCTCGGCCGTGAGCGCGACCCGGATGGCGTGCGGGCCGACCCCAAACTCGATGGCACCGTGCTCGACGTACCCATCGCGAGGCGTGTCGGTCACGTCTTGGGCCTTGGCTAGCCGCGCCACAAGGGCGTGGACCTGGCTTCGTGCTTGAGCGTCGGCCACCACCTTGCTCGCCTCGCTCACCACGTACACTGCTGCTCCGCGCGGCGGGGTCCAGCTCGCCCGAAGCGATCGGACCTGCTCCAGCAACGGAAGGACGTAGCCGTCGATTGCGGCGGCAGCGTTGGCAAGCTGCCGAGGCACATCCGACGGCGAGACCGCAAAGGCCTCGGGGAGTGGCGCAACCCGAGTATCGACACTTGCTGGCAGCTCGTCGCACAGCCCGACCGCGTGGCTCACCAGCTCGTCGGTGAGGAACGGTAGCAGCGGGTGCGCCGCCGTGAGGAATGAGAGCGCACAGTGGGCAAGAACTGCGCCCTCGACGCCGCCCTTACTCACCTTGGTGTGTTCCACGTAGATGTCGCAGAAAGCATCGACGAAAAAGCCCGACACCGCGCGAGCCGCCTTGTGCAGCGCCAGCGGCGGCTGCGCCGCTGCCTGCACCTCGGCCGCCATGACGTCAAGCTTGCTCAGAATCCACGCGTCCATTGGCGTCAGCGCCGCCGCGGTGTCGGGCGTCAGCCGGAGCTCGGCCCGCCCATCAGCACCCGACGCCAGCTGCTGGACGTACTGCGGAACTGCACCCTCGTCCTCGGTGGCAAGCAGCACATACCGGAGTCCGTTCCAGATCTTGTTGCAGAATTTGCGCGCCGAGAGGACCAGCGATGGGTCGAGATTGATAAAGTGCGATTGCTTAGTCATTTCGAGAAGGGCATACCGGAGCGCGTCGGTGCCGAACGCCGGAAAACCGTCGGGGAACGCAGCCTTGAGGTCCGAACTTGCACGGGCGCGCTCGCCCGCAGGCAAGTTGCCGCCCTCGAGCGCAGCGAGAAGCTTGTCCAGCGACGCCCCCTGAATGAGGTCGGCCGGATCGAGTACATTGCCGAGCGACTTGGACATCTTGCGCCCTGACTTGTCGCGGACCATCTGGTGGAGGTCGATGTGCTTGAATGGGAGCTCACCGCCAGGCGCGAGGTGGGTGCAGAGCATTACCATGCGTGCGACCCAAAAGACCAGGATGTCCGAGCCGGTCTCCATGAGTGTCAGCGGGTAGCCGGCGCGGCGCGGATCGGCATGCGGCCACCCCAGCGCCGACATCGGCAGCAGCGCCGACGAGAACCACGTGTCGAGCACGTCGTCGTCGCGGACCACGTCACCCGAGCCCCAGACCTCGGCGGCGGCAACCGATGCCGCCGCCTCGTCGGCGGCAAAGACCCAGTCTGAAGTGTGCAAGCCCGATGAGCCCGGTGCCCGCCACGCCGGAACCCGATGGCCCCACCAGAGCTGCCGCGAGAGGCACCAGTCGTTGAGCTGATGCATCCACTCGTCCCATGTTGCCTCGAACGACGCGGGCGCAATCGTGAGCGCGCCAGTCTCGACCGCCTTACGCGCCGCCTCGGCTAGCTCGCGAGTCCTGAGAAACCACTGCGGGCGGAGGAGCGGTTCGAGCACGTCGCCAGTCCGTGAGCAGACCGCAAGGCTCTGTGCATACGGCTCATGGCCGCCGTACGCACCACTAGCCTCGAGAAGCTCAATGATGCGTGCACGCGCCTCGTACCGGTCGACGCCCTCAAGCTCAGCCAACTCAGCCGGGAGTGGTGTGTCACCGAGGTGGGCAACCAGCTCGCTCAGCGCCACATGGCCAACGTCGTCAAAGAGCGTCAGCGGAGCTTGGCCGTGCCGGACGCCGGTGGCGTAGTCGTTAAAGTCGACGCCGGGCGAGATCTTGACCACGCCTGTTCCGAATTCGGGATCGACGGCCGTCGCGTCGGCAACCACCGGCAGCAGCGCGCCCGTCAGCGGGTGCTTCACGCTCTTGCCGGCGAGCCGCGCGTGGCGCGGGTCGTCGGGGTGGACGGCCAGCGCCGTGTCAACCAGCACCGTCTCGGGACGGGTTGTCTGCACCGCCACGGTCTCTCCAGACGGTGAGTTGGCGACGGCGTAGCGGATAGTATACAGCCGACCGGACGGAACCCGGCGGCCGTCGGGCAGGGCAATGGTCGAGTCGGGCGCGACGTCGACGTGGTCAACCTCGACATCCGAAATGGCCGACCGCAGCGTTGGGCACCAGTTGACCAGCCGCAGATCACGGTAGATAAGCCCGTCGGCGGCGAGCTGCATAAACGCAGTATCGACCGCCTGCGACCGCGCCGGATCCATGGTAAAGTACTCGTGCGCCCAGTCGAGCCCGCCGCCTAGCATCCGCAGCTGGTCACGAATGCGTCCATCGCCGGTCGCCTCCTTCCAAGCGTGAACTTCGCGCACAAATGCGTCGCGGCCGAGCTCATGCCGCGAGATGCCGCGCTCGCGCTGGATCTTGCTCTCAACCACAACCTGGGTGGCGATGCCAGCGTGGTCCAGCCCGGGGATCCACAGAGTCTCCTCGCCGCGAGCCCGCGCCGCCCGCACCGCCGCATCCTCCACCGCAACCGTCAGCGCGTGGCCCAGATGCAGCGCGCCAGTCACGTTGGGTGGCGGGAGGAGGACGGTAAACGTCGGCCTTCGCAAGCTGCCTGTCTTTGCTGCTTCTTTGGCCTGCTGCACTCGCCAGGCCTCCCATCGCGCCACCTTGCCAGCCTCCACAGCCGCGGGCTCGTACCCTGCCGCCAGCCCGCCCGCGCCCGCGCTAGCAGCCCACCTCCGACCAGCCAAGGTGGCCACCGGCACCATCCGCGCCCAGTACGCCCGGAGCATAGACCTGAGGGTAGAGTAGAGTAAAGTGGTAGGAGATGGTGCGTAGGTGGGTCGGAGGGGTAGAGGGGAGGGGCAAGCGCAATGGTGGGGGCAGCGGCAGGACTACCAGTCGTCGTGTCGCGTCTGATCACCACCGCCACGGGTCACCATCCTGCCAGCCAGCCCTGCCCAGCCAAGCCGAGTCAGCCCCTCTCGGTGAGCCAGCCCCAGGCCCGTCGCTCAGGGCTTTGTCACTCGTCTTTCCGCCACAGGGACAATGGTGCGCAAGAAGGACAAGGCCACCAAGAAGTATGAGAACAAGGTACGTACTACCTCTTCCCTCTTCCTTCTTCTCTCTCTCTCTCTCCCCCCTCCCCACCCCTGTCCCCCCCCCCCCCTGCTCCTGCCCCCCCCCCCCTAGGTCGGCGAGATGGCGGATGGATGGGAGGATGGTCACCCCCTCCCCCCCCCCCCTCCCCACCCACCCAGTCCCCGCCTCCCCAATCCTACCGCATTGCTCACCCCCTTCCCCTTCACACGCACAGAACCTCAAGGGAGAGCTCAAGCGGCGCAAAGTGGTGAAGGATGTGGCTGAGCGTGAGGAGAGCAAGGCCATCCGTAGGGCTATCCGGCTGGCTAAGGAGGAGTCGAGGTCCAAAGCAAAGGCCCGGGGCGCGGCCGAGCTCGGAGTGAAGGGCAAGAAGAAGAAGAACAAGCGTCAGCGGCCGAAGATCTCGGCTCTGCCCGAGGACGAAGAGTCGGACGAGGCTGATGAGATGCTGGCCATGGCTGTCGAGGCTGGTGATGCCGTGGCCGGCAAGGCTGGCAAGTCGGCTCGTGGGAGCAAGAAGGATAAGTACGCCGGGCTGGACTTTGAGGGCTTTATGCAGAAGATGCAGGACAGCGATGATGACGACGATGGCGCGGCGGAGGCGTCCTCGGATGGCGACGACGACGAGGGCGAGAGCAGCGAGGGAGAAGGCGTGACCGAGGCCGATCTGGTGGCCAAGTTTGGCGTCGATGGCTTCAGCTCGTCGGACGACGGCAGCGCATCGGACGACGCGTCGAACAACGTGGCCAGCAGCGCCAAGAACGCGCGTGCCAAGGTAGTTGATGAACACAAGATGCAGATGGACCAGCTTGCGGAGCAGGATCCGGAGTTTTTCAAGTTTCTGCAGGAGCACGACGCCGGGCTTCTCGACTTTGCCGCCGAGTCGGACGACGGCGAGGAGGAAGAGGTTGCGGCCGAGGCCGAGCTCCTCCGCGAGGCTGCGGCCGAGGAGAAGCGCAACCGCAAGAAGGACATGCCGCTGAGCAAGCTGCCAGTCATCTCGGCAGAGATGTACTCGCAGTGGAAGAAGTTGCTTGTGACCAAGGAGCTGACTCCGCGCCGGATCCGTACCTTTGTGGCGGCGTTCAAGTCTGCAGTGGCCATGACAGTCGACGCCAGCGGGCAGGCCGCCAGCACCCGGTCCGAGCGCGATGAGAACGAGGCCGCAGTGACCAAGGCCCTGGGCAAGATTCGGTTCCGCGTCGAGTCGGAGGCAGTCTTCAACATGATTGTCCTCTTCTCGCTCCGCAACATGCACAAGATCTTCAACGCCTACCTCCAAATCCAGTCGCAGCGGGCGCGGAGCCGCGGCTCGCAGCGCAAGCCGTACACGCCCGGCCCGCGGGCTGTGCCGTCCAAGGTCCCGGGCTTTGTCGGTATCAAGCGCACGGTCCAGTCGTACCTCCGGACGCTCATTGTGTTTGTCGATGGCGTCCGCGACCCGTCCATCCTGCGTCTGGTCTTTGTCCACCTCGACGCGCTCATTCCGTTCATGCAGCACCAGCTGAAGACGGCCAAGCGGCTGCTCAAGACCCTTGTGGCGCATTGGGCCCGTGCCGAGTCGGAGGACACCATGCTCCACGCCTTCCTCACCATCCGCACCATGGCGCTCAACCTGCCTGCCTGGTTCATCAATGACGCGCTCAAGCGCTCGTACATGGCCTTTGTCCGCGAGGTCAAGCACACCGCCGCCCACACCGCCGCCCGCCAGCAGCTCCTCCGCAACTGTCTGGTCGAGCTCTTTGGTATCAACGTCGAGGCTTCGTACCAGCACGCCTTTGTCTACATCCGCCAGCTCGCCATCCTTCTCCGCACCGCCATCTCGGCCCAGTCCAAGTCCTCGCTCGCCACCGTCTACAACTGGCAGGTTGTTCACTCGCTCCGCCTCTGGGCCCAGATCCTTGCGCAGTACAAGGACTCGGACAAGCTCGAGCCGCTCCGCTACCCGGTGATCCAGATCCTGTCCGGCATCGCCACTCTTGCGCCGTCGGCCCGCTACTTCCCGCTCCACTTGCACGTCATGGAGGACCTTGTCAACCTTGCCGCTGCTACTGGCCTCGTCACCCCGGCTGCCACCGCCCTCCTCTCCATTCTCCACGCGGAGTCGCTCGCCAAAAAGTCGGCGGCGTCGACGACCAAGCCCATCGACCTCACCATCGTAGTCAAGGTGACCAAGTCGTACACCACCTCGCGCGCCTTCAAGACTTCGGTCGTCGACCGCGTCGCCTTTATCCTCCTCCGCCACGCCCACTCGCTCGCTGGCACGATTGCCTTCCCGGAGCTTCTGGCGCCTGTCCTCTCCTCGGTCCGTACCTTCTCCAGGAACAAGGCTATCGCGCCCGCCCTCCGCAAGCGCGTCGCCTACCTCATCTCCGCCATCGGCAACCATTCCCGCTGGATCCGCGCTAAGCGCGACTCCATCACCTTTGCGCCCGGCGACACCGCCGCCGTGGAGGCCTTTGAGGCCGGCCTCAACACCGCAAAGTCGCCCATCCAGAAGGCTTACGTCGCCAAGCTCAAGGAGCACGAGGCCGAGCGCGCCCGCCTCGCCGACGATGCCGCCGCCGCCGCCACCTTTGGCAACGACGACGACAAGCTCGACCCGGCCGAGCACAACACCCTGCGCCAGGCCCTCGAAGCCGCCACTGACCCGCGCGCGGACGACGAGGACGACCACGCCGGCTCCGCCAAGCGCAAGCGCTCGCAGCCGCACAGCGACGAGAGCTCCAACAGCTCTGACGACGACGAGAGCTCGTCCGATGACGACGAGCCCGAGGAGGCTCCGTCTCGCAAGCGCCGCAAGACCATCGCCCTCTCGGCCGAGCAGGAGCGCGCCGCGCACCGTGTCATGTCCATCAAGGACGAGTCCGAGCTCCCAGCCGACACCGTCCAGGAGCTCGGCTCCGACGACGACTGGTAAACTGGCGGTGTTCCACACCAGCAGCACACTATCCTGGACTACGCTCTGTACTCGTGCGGCTCGAGAAAGCCGATAAAAAGCGAGCCGTCCGCCAGCCACCGCATCCCTCGCCCGCCGCTTGACCGCATCTCGAGCACAAGCGTTCCAGTGTACAAAAGGTGAATGTTGAGCCAGCGGACGTCGTCAAGCACCCCGATGCAGAGCTCGAGCGCCTTGGCGTTGCGTTCGGCCACCGAGCCGCAGACCTCGGGCCATCGCCCATCGGGTGTCCGGCCAACATGCTTGGACCATGCCCGCGCGCCGGCAGAGAGCTGCGCTCCAACCAGGCGCTTGGCGCCGTAAACCGGCGCTTCAAACGCGGCAATGAGCGTGGCGCGCTGCGGGAGCGGGCGCACCAGGCTTGCCGCCGTCATCGCAAAGCCCATGACCCGCCAGCATGCGTGGGGGCAAGCAGCGCCAGTCTCGGCTACCCTGCCAGCAGCAGACGTAGAGGGAGCGGCGGCGTACTCGGTCATCGCCGCGGCGAGGTCCGCAAGCCCGCGCGCCTCGCTCTCGCTTACCACGCGCAGCTCAAAACACGGATGCGGGACCGCTAGCTGGGGCGGCACCCCGCGGTTTGTCACAAGCTGCTTCGCTAGATGCCCCGCCAGTGACCGCCCGTTCGGGTAGGCGAACGACGGCGTGTCGGGGCCATCGCCCATGATCTTGCGCCCGACCTCAGTCTCTCGCTCGGTCGACCCATCCAGCGCTTCCCGCTCCTCGACAGTCAGCATGGCCTCGGTCCTTGCCACCAGCTCTTCCTCCAGAGGGTGGAGTGGTGGCCGGTCCTGTTGCGGCGCAAAGCCCTCGGCAAGCAAAGCTACGGCATCCTCCATGACCAGCTCTGCCAGTTCGGGCCACTCGGCCGCCACCGCCGCCACCTCGTTCTCCATCGCCACCCGCCGGGCCTCAGGCAGCTGATCGTCGGCCTTCAGCAGTGTCCTTGCAAAGCCCTTTGCCTTTCGCGCCCGCTTCAGCCGATGCCCCCTCTCAGCTTCTTCTGTTCTCTGCTCGCCGTCGCCACACTCGGCGGAAGTCATGGTCAGCAACTTGTCCAGTCTCGCCTCGCTCTGGAGGGCCTGGGCCAGCCACCGCACCGCATCGTCCCCATCCGCAGCCATGCCCGCTGTACAGGATTTTGCACTCGCCACCTCTCCCGCGGCCACTTGTGCAAGTGAGGTCGTGCGTCGTGAGTACCCTGCCTGACAGCCGATGCCGGCGGCGGTCGATGTGGTTGATATGAGCGATCGTATTGATGCGGGTGATGCAAGCAGTGATGGCCATGCATGTGGCTGGTGATGTCCTTGATGTGTTTGTGGAAGGCGATGTGGGCGACGTAGGCGATGCTGGTGTGTCAGGGAGAGCAGCTGGGTTTGAGCGCGGGCACCAACCACTGCTGTGGCGGCGGCCTTGCGCCCTGGCAGGGCGAGACACCCCACCCTCTATGGAGAGCCACGACGAGGTATGTGCGGCACATGCCCATGTGCTTGCGGCTGGTCTGGGTGTGATTGGGGACGAGCCTCCTTCGGATGCCGCCGGCCACGAGCTGACCTTTGCTGCCCTCGAGGGCATGGACGCCCTGGCGCGACTCGCTGTCCGCGGCGACAATGCCTCCACGGGCCTCTCGCGGTTCGACGACCGATACGGCGCCTTTCGCTCGCTTCCAGAGCGCCTGCCGGCCCCTCTCATCGGAGCGCAGCTCGCTGTTGGGGTCACGCATCTTCTTGCCTTTGATCACAACTACGCCGCCTCGCCGCTCTTTGTCTCGCTCGCTGTCATTGCAGGCTCGTGCGCGGCGGCCCGGGCCATGGCCGACCCGACCACACCGGCAGGCTCAGATGCAAGCCGTACTGCAAGTTCCAGTGATACAGCCGCGAGCATGGGCTCACGCCGGGGATGGGCAGGCCTCGCTGCGCTCATCATTCCCTGGCTCAGCACGGCGCCCCGCCATCTGGTTGCGGCTGCCGGTGTGTGCAGGGCGTGGCGAGCAGAGGCTAAGCGCGCAGCGCACTGGCCAGACTTCAGTTCGCTGGATAGCTGGCGAGCGCGGGCAGAGCTAGCGCTGGTGCTGCGCTCAGAGGGAAGGGGCGATGCAGAGAGTGAGTCTGTTGTGGTCGGCTACATGCTGAGCGTCGCCGTCCCTCCGCGTCCACCGGCTTTTGCCGTTGTCCCGCCCGAGATGGCCTCGGCCATCTTTCTCTTTCTGCACTCCCCGAGCGTGGGCTCACTACATGCGGTGCTGTCGGCGACTCATGCGGTAGTGGTATCTGGCGCGCGCGATGCCGTCTCTGCTGACGCGGTGGCACTCCTCGTCTCGCTCGTCTCGTTTGACTTGCTTGTTGGAGCGGGGGCTGCCTTTGGTATCCGGCTGGTGCGCAAGCGGCGTGAGAGCAGCAACGGCAATGGAGGTGCATTTGTGAGAGATGGCGTTGCGGTCCTCTCGGCGGTACTTGAGCCGCGAATCCGGCTCCGTCCGTGGGAAGCGTGGTGGCTCCGGCGGGCGATGGCGCGCATCAGAGCAGGCGTTACCGCAGGCTCAGCCTCTTCAAGAAGCTTGGGCGAGACCCTGCTGCAGCCCGGCAGCCTGCCGCTTGCGGTGAGTTTGCGCGAGACGCTAGTCGGGATGTGGATTCAGGGCGAGCGCGAAGGCGGCGCCTCGACCCGGCACTTTCTGGCCCATACGCTTGAGATGTGGGCATCGGATGAGACACGTCCGGCTTTCAACGGCGAGAAGCAGCTCAAGGCGCTCGATGACACTCCAGTCTCGCTGGTCAATCACTTGCCGCTGGCGCAGTTTGACCAGCCGCTGCTCGGCCCACCCGTTCTCGCTGCATTGGCCAAGCTTGTGCTGGCTCACGAGGCCCACGTCGGCAGCAAGTTCTTCCCGTTCATCAACTCGGAAGCTCGGTATGCGGCGCTCTTGAGTCAGATCGACATCGAGGGCGGGAGCCTCGCTCAGCTGTACGGCATTATGCTTGACAGCAGCGGGAGCAGCAGCAGTGACTGGCCGGCGCTCACCCCACAACTGGTTGCGTTGGCCAAGGCAGGCGAGTGCGAGCCGGCGTGGGCTGCGGTGCTGCGGATCCATGACGTGCTTGTGGGACGGACCCAGCTGGCACTCGCTGCAGCCGGGATCAAGCGGCCATCGGCGTGGTCGTCGACGCTGCAGCTCGCCCGCGCTGCGCTGCATGTTTCCGGCGGCATGGCCCGCGCTGGCCAGAGCAGTCGGACCGAAAGCCGCCCGCTCGCGGTGGCGTTTGAGCTCTCGCTCCTGCGTCTCAGTTTCGCTGGTGTTTGTATGCCGGCCTCGATTGATGGGTTTGAGACCAATCTCGGGTGGCTGGCGGCAAGCTACGTCCGCGAGGCAGTGGCTGTCTTGGTGGCCATCGGCCAGTACCGGCTCGCCGACCTCCTCCGCGCCGTCTTTGGCATTGGGTGGGTGTCGGATCAGCGGGCGCCAGGCGCACCAGGCGGTGCTTCAGTCATCAACTGGTCCGCCCCGGGCGCGCTTGTGCAGGCCTACCACGGCCTCGAGTGCGTTGTCTCGATAGTGGTAGAGAGCGTGGCGCCGTCGTTTGTGCCGACGTGGCGAGCGGTGCAGGACGTCGACATGACGCCGGCGGTGACTGAGGGCCTCTTCCGATCGGGCCTGTTTGCGGCGCTTGCGCCAAGCGAGCGGTCCATGATACCTGTCCTCACTCTTTTGCTTGCCACGCGAGTGGTCCTGGCGGCGTCACTGGTACTGGACCTGCTCGCTGTTGCCAACGTTGGTCACGCCTATGTACACGTCCTCCATGTCAAGCAGCTTGTTGGCTTTCGGCTCTTGGCCTCGTCGAACGCGCTAGTCCACGGCGGGAGCGCACGGCTCGCTGACGATGTGCCTCTTCTGAGCCTCACATTTGAGGTGCTCAACGACCCTGGCCTACGGACTGTCATGTCGCACACTCGCGAAGTTTTTGCCTTTCACGAGGCGCCGTACACCATGGCGACACTCGCACACCGCCGCCACGTCCTCTACGAGCGTATCATCGGCGACGATCTTTCAGTCAGCACGCCGGTTGCTGAGCTGCTTGACCTCCGCGCTCGCTGGCAGGCATCCTACTCCCGGGTCCTCTCGGAAAAGGAAGTGCTTGACGAGGTGCTCGAGGATCCGGCGCTGCTGAATCGGCTCGGCTGGACCGCCGACGCTGTCGCTGACAAAACCCATGCCGCGTTTAACTTGCTCGAGACGCTCGAGCTCGAGCGCGCCGCCATCGACTCGCTCGTCTGCTTTGCGCTTGTCCAGCAGCTCACTGACGAGCTCTGCCAGGCATGGCCGATGGAGGCCGACGACTCGAGCTTTTGCACGGCGCTCGATGCGCTCAATGCGTACATGACGAGCCTGTATGCGCACGGCACCACGCCGCTTCTGGCCAGCAGCCGTGCGCCTCCACTGGCCGCGTTGGTTGAAGAGGCCGATGACGCCGTTGGCGCGTTTTGTCGTCTGTCGTCGAGCGCGGTGAATGCAGCGGCGGAGGCAGGCGAGCTCGGCGATGCCACACTGTTCAAGAACTACATCCGGGTCGTCGCCGCGCTTGTCTGTGTCATTGCTGCCGACTCGTTAGCCGGCCTTCGGTTGGCAGCGGCCGAGGGCGAGGGCGACTCGCCGGATGCGCAGCTCGAGGTGTTTGCTATTCTCGGAAAGCTCTTTCGGCAGGCCTGGTTCTACTGGGCGTCGGGCGGGCGACTGGCGGCAGGACCCAACGAGCTTCTCGAAGTGTTTGAGACATGGATGTGGGAGTTTCATGACCTGGAGGAGCTGGGAATCGTGTGGAACACGCTGTACCACGCCGAATCTGATCTCGGCAGCGCCATTGCGAGGTCGGCCGTCCGCACTGCCGATGACGTGCTCGAGAGCCTCGGCGAGCGGGCCGAGGCGGTGGCCAAGCTCGCATCGTACGCAGGCGAGTCACAGGCTCCGCACGCTGAGCTCCTGGCACAGGCGCAGGCACTCACCGCGCCGTCGAGCGAGAGCGTTCACTCGACGCCGCTTCGGGCGCAGGTTGCGCTTGAGGCGCCAGAGGTGCAGGACGACCTCGAGCTAATGCTGGAACGGCTGGCGACACGCGACGCGGCGCTCATCCAGCGGCAGCGCCGCCGCCGTGTCTACATCCGCCACATGGCTGGCGTGCTGACCTCGGACCGCCCGCTCTCACTGCGTCTTCTTGCAGCCTCGTAGCCCCGCCGCTTGCTCTTGCGCCGGTGCAGCGTACTAAACGCCTGGTCACGAGCGTGGCTGGGGGTAGATGACCCGGGCGCCGTTGGGAAGGACGACGACCCCGTCAGCGTCAGGCTCTGGCTGCGGATCGGCGTAGGTGTCCGACTCTATGCGAGGACCGCCAACAGCGAGGCGGACCCAGATGTGGCCATTGTCGGTGACGCGGACCGGATGGACCCGCTGCATGACGCCCTTGGACTTGACAACACCATCGAGGGCAGTGTAGAGACCCTCGCCAGTATCGAGGGTGATCGGGTACTTGTGCCAGGGGCACACAATGCACGCCCGTCCGCCAACGTGCTTCACCTTGCCCGGAGCAAGCTCGCCGCCGTGGTGATAGCATCGAGCGTCCAGACAGGCCACCGATCCATCAGGCGCCAGGACCAGCACAACCTCACGACCGTCTATTTGTGTCTGGACAGCGCCGCGGCTCCGCACCTGCGCCACCGTCGTGGCTCTCACCCAGGCCTCGCCCTCGTCCACCCCGTCCTCCTCACTGCCCATTCCGCATCTGTCGTCCATCTCCAGTACTCTTGATGCTGCCATGGTGGTGGTGGTAAAGGTGAGTGGGGAGGGGGCGGGGGGGGGGGGGGGGGGGGGGAGAGGGGGAGCGAGAGGTGGGGGAAGGAGGAGGGGGGGAACAGGAATGTTGGTGGTGACATCGATGGCGGTTGAGATGGCACGGATAATGATGGTGGTGGCGATGGTGGTGGTGGTGGTGGTGGTAGTGATTGATGATGGTGGTGGTGGTAGATGATGGTAATCAGGGCGTCATGGCAGTGGGTCATGGCAGTGGTCATGGTGGTGGGGGTGAGCCGGTGGCAGACTCTTCCGCAGGCACACTCGCCCCCTCCCCCCTCCTACACACACACACACACACACACACACACACACACACACACCACTCCACACTCCCCCCACCCCACCCCTCCCCTCCCCCCACCCTACTCCCCAAATGGCTGACTCTCAGCCCGCAAGGGTCCGTCTCGACCGCAGAGCCATTCTCTCCCGTCTGGGCCCCTCGCCTCAAGCACCGCCAGCCTCCTCCTCCTCACCAGTATCGTCTTCCGCGCCTTCAACTGCTAAGCCTGCTCATGCCGCATCTCCGCCCGGACAGTCTACGTCGTCTGCAGCTCGGCTGGCCGGCCGACTTGTCCGTCCGCCCGCGCTGGAGCGCGAGCGGGCGATCAGCAGGGCGGCACAGGTCAGCTCCCAGAGACCGCAGCCGCAGCCGCAGGAACAGGCGCAGAAGCAAGAGCCACAGCGCGCTCCGAAGCAGGTCATCAGACCGCCAAGAGATGATCAAAAAGGCGATCATGATGCCGCCCGTGCGGTCCACAGTGGACATCTGGAGCAAAAGCATCCGGCACGGGAGCGGTCGCGGTCGAGGGAGGCCCGGCCTAGGGATAGAGGTGACAGAGGCCGGGACCGCGGCGGTGACAGGGGCCGCGATCGTGGTGGCGACAGGGACCGTGATCGTGGTGGCGACAGGGACCGTGATCGTGGTGGCAACAGGGACCGCGATCGTGGTGGCGATAGGGACCGGGGAAGAGACCGCGCCCGGGAATGGGGAAGAGACCGCGGTCGTGCCTCGCGCGAGACACGCGACTACGACAGATCTCGTGATCGCGACCGCGGCCACGACCGGTACCAGCGCGATCGGGGTAGGGACCCGGCTGTCGCCGCCAAGCCCGAGCCCGAGCCAGTGCAGGCCCCGCAGACTCCGCTCGGCCAGGCTGCCGCGCCAGTCCAGGTGTGGGACCAGCGTCAGGTGGAGGCGACCGAGGCGCTGCCTCCGGCGGAGCCAATGCAGCAGGAAGAGCCACCCACTGCACACGAAAGTCCGGTTGCCCCGGAGCAGGTGCCGTCGAGCCAGCCTTCGCAGGCGGTTGCTTCGCTGGACAGGTTTGCCAACGTGGCCGAGCGATGGCTGGAGGACGACGACAATCGTGTGCTTTTCAAGGCTGCGGTCCACAAGGCTGTCCACCGCACCGCCAACATCTACGTCAAGGCAAACGCGCTTCGTGTGAGCAAGTCGCGGATGACAGCCGCCATCAAGTCAATGTGCAAGTCGATTGTGACTCGTGAGCTCGGCGACGGTGACATGGCACCCGACTCTGTCTCGCCATCGTGCAAGCGCCGCATCCAAAAGTATGTCGAAAAGTACCTCAAGTCCAAGTTTGCTTAGCTCCGCCGCACGAGCTGCCGCTGGTAAAACGTGGCGAGCGTGCCCGAGAACCGCCCTTCGGGTAGCGCGTCGACTTTGGCGAGAAGGAACGCGATGTCGACTCGCAGCTGCTCCCGCGCCCGAGGTGTGTCCGTCCCCAGCGCCGCCGCGCCCTTCACCACCAATCGCTCCAGCGCATCCAGGAGCTTGCTGTAGATGTCAGCCAGCTCGTCTGGAGGTAAAAGCGGCGCAAGAACCTTGCGAAGAACCACAATCGACTTGACCATCTTCCGCATGTACGCCATCGGCGCAGAGATCTCACCGGTATTGGCTCGCCCCGCCGCTCCGGAGAAGGCCTCATCGTACGCGCCCTGCACGCCCTGCATGAAAAAGTAGAACCGGTCTGTCATGATGGCCACAATCTTGGCATTGATTTCGTCGGCGTGGTCGAGCAGCGCCTGTCGCGCCTCGGTCAGCACGCCCAGCACGGCGGCCTGCTTTTGCGTCAGCAACTGTGCTAGCCGCTCGCAGAGGATAGGCAGAAAGTGTGCAAGTGCTCGCAGCGACTGCGCGGCAACCGCAAGATGCGCAGCAGTGATGGCCTTGAGTCCGGCAGTGTGCATCGCGCCGGCGCCGAGCACAAGCTGGCAGCTCCGCGAGTTAAAGTGCTTGAGCAGGAGCCCGAGCCGCGAGACCGCGTCCGGCGCCAGCGCAGGCAGCCGCTCGACGCAGCTTACATAGTCTTGCATCATGTCAAAGAGCAGGACCGACGACGACGTGAGGTGGTACGCGCACGGCGTCGGATACGTCACGCCGCATGCTGGGAGAGTCAGCTTGTCGAGCGCGGCGACGTCATTGTCGCTCGCCGTGCCTTTGTGGTCGTGGCTGGACACCAGGTGTGAGATGTGGACGGGCACGTCAACTCGGCTCCACAGCTCATTCTCCAGTAGAATTGACAGCTTGGTCATCTTGGCGTCATGAAGCGTCGAGAGGAAGACCTTGGCCTGGGAGAGGAGTGGGCCGCGGAGCCCGTAGCAGTTGCGCCCGACCACCACCTCGGATGCCACAATGAACGAGACAACCGTCTGGATGAGGACCACGAAGCGCTGAAAGTCAAGCTTGGCATTCGTCTGCGCCCGCACCGCAAGCAACTTGGCTGCCCGCGAGTGGACAAGCTCAGCGCCGTCGGCCAGCGACGTCTGCATCTCCTCAACCAGCCGCTCCGCTCCCAGCTCAGCGGCCATGCCGTCGACGACATTGACGAGTCCGTGCGCCGCGCGGAGCGCGTTGAGCGCAACCTCGAACACTCCGTCGAGCACGCTGACGTAGTCGGGCGCATCGAGTGCCTTGAGATGGACCAGGATTGATGCCGAGGCATCAAAGTCGGGCCGGTCCCCCATGGCATCGACCACGGCCGTCACCCGCGACTCGACCGTCGACCGCACAAGCATCTTGAGCACTGCGGAGAGCTCGTCGCGCCACACCACGGGAAGCCGCGCGAGCGCACCAACCCGCGATGCGCTCAACAGCACCACCCGCACCCCACGCGTCTGCGCCTCGGTATCGCTGCCGGCTGACAGGGGCAGTGACACAGACGAGGCAGCAACAAGCGTCTTGCGCAGCAGCAGCGCAAACTCGTTGCCCAGCGCATCCTCCAGCTGGGCCGCGTAGCCATCGAGCGCAAACCGCATCGTGGCCACCGCACGTACGCCCTTCAGCTCCTTGCCCAGTACCGCTCGGGTCGATTCGATAAAATCTTGTGCGGCCACGTAGTCACCGTCGGCGAGAGCAGCCTCGATGAGCTCCGGCGCGGCTTGAACCTCACCGAGGAGCTCCAGTCGCGTCTGGAGGTCTGCGGCGCGTAGCTTTTGCTCGCGGAGAGCGCCGACCTCGAGCGACGAGCCGCGGAGCTGTGCCGACGCATCGCCAAGGACCGATCGCACCAGTGCGACCTTGGTGTTACAAGCCTCGACCAGCGCTGCAAGCTCGCGGATGGTCGAAAGCGTCGAGAAGAACGATCGCGACTTGAGCGCGATTGCTTTGGTCAGCTCGGTCTCCACCATGTCGACGTAGTAAGCCAGCTTCTCGTGCTCCAACACTGCCGACGACCGCGCCTTGCCAGCTCGTGGCTCGCCCACAGCAGCCAAAAACGCATCGGTTTGCGCGACCGAGAACCGGTCGTCGAAGAACATGGCCGGCACCGCGGCGAGTGCGCCATGCGGGCCGACCACAGGAGCTTGATCTCGTACTGCGCTGTTGGAAGCAGCCTCGTCTGCAGCGGCAGCAGCCACCGTGAGCTCGTGCGCAGCCTCGACCCGCCCCGCCACAGCGGCGAGGTAGGTCTCGACAACCGTCATGTCCGGCGATTCCAGTGAATACGCCGGGCTCTGCACAGGCCCGATTGGTCCAGGGAAGGGCACAGGGACCTGCAGGACCGGGTTGTTGAGCAGAGCCGTGAGATTATGTCCTGCGGCGCGAACATGGGCTCTTAGCAGAAGCTCAGCTTCATCGCGAGTCGGAATTGCCACAGGCGGCGGAGGATGCGGGTGCTCGTCGCCATCATCAGCGCCACCTCGTTCGCCGCCTTGCACCAGTCTCCATCCTCTCTCCTCGCCTGTCCCGAGAGCAGACGATGCGCCTCCAGGCGGTGTGCCTCCGGACGACGTGCCTCCAGACGGATGCCCTGTGCCTGCCCTCGTCGACAAAGGCGGGTCTCGGCCTCGCCCGCCCTTGCTTGCCATACCCACTCTCCTACGGTTTGGTGGAGAGCAGGAGTGGTTGGGGTGGGGTGGGTGGGGGATAGCAGCACTGGTCCTTGCTATGGGTGGGTGCCAGCACGGGGGAGGAGAGAGAGGGAGAGAGAGTGGTGGCGTAGGCTGCCGGTGACAGAGTTGGTGCCGGTGCCGGTGACGGTGACGGTGCGACGGCAGACGCCAAACCCAGGGCGACGGCGACAGGGCATCTTACCTTGGCCCTTTACGGCACGGAATGGACAAGTTGGTCCATCGCGCAAGCCGCGCTCTCCACAGACGTCGCAGCGTCCATCAATCGTGGTCTCCACAGACGTCGCAGCGTCCATCAATCGTGGTAAAAGAGTAGTATACTGGGTTAATGGCTGCTGTGACCACTGGTGGCCACAACAGAAAACAGGCGGCGATGCAGAGATGGACGCCGCACGCGGCGCAAAAGGTCCGCGGCCGCGATCGCACATCATGAAGCTTCCGGCAGGCGAGGTAGTCGCGTCGTAGAGCGGCTTATTGGGGAGAGTGGTGATGACAAGCAGCCGCTGCAGAGGTGCGCTTCCGCTTGCGCGACGGCGCGGAGCTGACGGCGTCGGCACTGGCGGCGAGGGCGCGAGCTGGCGGCGTCGGCACTGGCGGCGAGGGCGTCGATGATGTCGTAAGGAAAAGCCACGCCAGCTATGGCGGATCGAGGGCTCGCGTCAGCGTAGAGCGCGTATGCGGCGTCCAGAATCCAGTACACGATAGCGTGGCACCACTTGCGCGGCCACGCCGACCGGTAAGCTCGTCCGTCGCAAGAAGATCCACAACGTCTTCGCGCTCTCCCGTCCGGCCGCAGTGTTCAACTCTGAGCTGCTTCCCTTCCCGGTCGCCGGGGTCGTCAACGACAAGCTCAGCACCGTCCGCGCCCGCCGCTCCTCCGGATCTGCGCCATCCGGCACTTCGCGCGCCTCGCGCGTGCTCCCGGGCGTCCGTCACCGCGACGGTAGCTCAGGCATCGTTTAGGCGGGCGTCAACGTGTCGGCCGCCATCACGTGCGGGCGCGCCTCCCACCGGGAAGTCAAGCACCATCGAGTTGTTCACTTTGAGACGCGCGACAACGCGTCCGAACGACAGTACCGTTAAGGGTTAGACCCACGCCTCGCAATGAGACTGCCGATCGCTGCGCAGTTGAGCGGCCCGCAGCCACATCGGCAGCACGCATGTGCCACGGGCCACACCCCCCCCCCACTCCTCCCCCCACCCCCACCCCCACCCCTACCCCCACCCCTACCCACCTACCCCCTCTGGCATGCATCGTCGTCTGTTCCTCTCGCTCGTCCTGGTTCTGGTCACCCTTGCCGCCCTCGCCTCTCTCGCTCTGCCCTGTGCCGCTGTCTCGGGCGTGTGCGCGGCTTGTGGCCCTGTGGCCCTCCCGCTGTGCGACTGCGATGTCGGCTTTACTTGCGTCTCGCCTGCTGGCCATCCGCTGCCGGGTTATCCCTCCTGCTCCCGGACTCCTGCGGGATATCTTTCACCGGTGGCTGGCGATCGTGTGCCGCCGCTGCCGTGCCCGTCGGGCAAGTTCTGTCCCTTTGGCCTTCCCATCCCTGTCGACTGCCCCGTCGGTGCCGTCTGCTCCTCCTCCCGCGCTTATCGCATTCTCCCACTGGCGCTCGCGCTGGCCGCTGCCATCACCCTCTTCCTTCTACCAAGCCTGGTTGGGTGTGCTTGCGAATCCGACGGTTCTGATGATGTCTGTGCCGAGCTCGTCGACGAAGATGACGCCCTCGAGTCTGGCTCCCCAACCATTGGGGTCGAGATGGTCGACGTGGTCGTCCGGGCTGGTGGCAAGACGCTGCTGCACAAGGTGAGCGGCACTATTGCTGCCGGCGCCATGGTGGCGGTGATGGGACCGTCAGGCGCCGGCAAGACGACACTGCTCAGGGTCCTCCGCGGAGCAGTGGGCGTCGCGTCGGGCGCGATCCGGGTCAACGGCCTCGCCACCTCGCTCTCGCGCTTCCGCCAAACCGTCGGCTTTGTGCCGCAAGACGACGAGTCGCTCGACGCTCTGCTTACGCCGCGGCAGCTTTTGATGGTTGCCTCGCTACTGCGGTTTCCGGTCCTCACACGGCCGGGAGCGCATGCTCGCCACGCCGACGCCATCATTGCCGAAATGATGCTTCAGCACGTGGCAGGAGTGCCCATCGGCTCGGCCACCGATCCACCTTCGCAGCGAACACTGTCGGGTGGTGAGCGCCGCCGGGTCAACGTTGCTCTCGAGCTTGTCACTCGGCCCGCAATCGTTCTCCTCGACGAGCCGACGTCCGGGCTGGACACCTTTGCCGCCTCGCAGGCCATCGGATGTCTCAAGGCCGCGTCGTCCGCTCGCGGAACTACGGTGGTGGCCTCGATCCACCAGCCGTCATCTGACTTGTTCAACACTTTTGACACGCTGGTCGTCCTCGCCGCCGGCGGTACCGTCGCCTACTGGGGCTCGGTCTCCGGCGCTTTGGGCTACTTTGGTGTCGACACACCCGACGCGCTTCTTGATGTTGTGGCTCAAGATCCACAAACCGTGACCACTCGCTGGGCTACGCGGGCCAACAGCAGCTCGTCCGATGATGGCGGTGATGAGCGCGGCGGCGGCGTGGCCGTCGCCGGTCTCTCCGCCATCTCGACACGGCCCAATCTGGTATGGCAGGCCGGAGTCCAGATGGGCCGGGTGGCACTGAGATGGGCCAACGGCACCACCACGCTTGCCCTCCTCTGTATCATGTTTGCCTGCTCCGGTGCCTTCCTTGGCCTTGCATTCATGGAGCCCAAGTACGTGCTGCCACCGCCGGCATCGATGGTGGACGACTGTCCGGTTGGCGCGGCGCAGATGACCGACGGACAGAACTGGAACCAGCCATGCTCGTCGAACTGGCCGACGAGCGAGACGCAGGGTCTCTATGCCCTCTACTCGGTCATGGTTCTCGGCATTCTGGGCACCGCCTATGCAGTCTCGTCGTTTGGCCAGCACATGCCGGTCTACTGGCGCGAGGCTGCATCGGGCTCGTCGCAGCTCGCCTACTTTGTGGCCAACAACGCCATCGACACGGGCCTCGCCGCTGCCTTTGCCTTTTTCTTCCTCGCAGCCTACGCCGCAGTCGCCGACCCATGGGGCGCGTTCGGCACCTACTTTGCGCTCACCTTTATGATGCTTTGGACAAACTTTGGCCTGGGCTATCTCACCTCGTTTGTCCTCGCCCGCTCCAACGCCGCCGTCACCTCGGTCCTCTGTGCCATGGTCATGGGCGTTTTCTCTGGCATGGCCTTCCAGCGGACGCCGACGTACTCGTTCTTCTACTCGGAAGCCATCTGGCGCGCCGAGGCCTCACTCGTCATCCACAACGCGCACCCGTCGGACTTGTACTGGATCTCGGTCTATGCCTCTAACAACTACGGCTACCATATCGACGCCGGCGTGACTGCCAACGCGCTCAAGTGGATGGCCTTGTACGGCGGTGGCCTACGGCTGCTCGCCTTCTTCTGTATGATTTTCCGCCATCGCTCCAAACAGCGGTAGCGTTAGCTCGAGCTTCAAGCCTGGCTCACTAGCGCAAACCAGGTTAGGAGCCGGGTGACCATGCCGAGGCCGACGAGCGCGACAACGTCGAGGACGTATGCGTCGAGCCGGAACCCGTACTCGGTAGCAAACCGCTTCACGCTCTCGACAAACGCGCCATCCGGCTCGTCAAGGTACACCTGGGCCTCCAGCCCGATGAGCGCCTCGACAACGTACCGCGAGAACGAGACATCCCAAAACACCACCAGCGCCGAGTACGAGTCAGCCACGTGTCGGTACTTGGGCGCGATACCAGAGAGGATGGCTGCCGCAAAGGTCGACGAAATGCCGACGACCAGCGCTGTCGATGGTGAAGCCACCACAGAGAGCAGGTACCCGAGTCCGTAGACCGTAAACTCGATGCAGAAGAAGAGCAGCGTGTGCCAGACCCAATTGGAGACCGGCCGGAGCATCGGCAAGTACACGCCGGCAAAGATGACTGCGCCAAGTGCCATGAACGGGATGTCGACAAGCGACTTGCCGACCACATAGGCAACTGATGACGCGCCTGCGGTGTACTCGCGGCGAAAGACTGCTCGCTCGCCGCCAAATGTCCAAATTGCCGCAGCGACTCCGGCCGAGCCCAGCGCGAGCGAGAGGTAGAACGACGAAAGCCGCATGTTGAACCAATCGATCGGCTCGGTGGCGCACGCCTCATGCGCCACTGGCGGGCACTGGTTCGCAAGCGCTGCAGGCAGCGGCGGAAGAAGCAGGCCCGAGCCCTTGTTCTGCAGGAAGCCGCAGCCGAGAACCGCCGCCGACGCCGCATGCACAATGACCAGCCACACCAGCCGAGACGGCTTTGCGGTGTACTGCTGCAATGCGCGCTTCGCGCACGCCCACGTCTGCCGCCACATCGGCGCTGGAAAGGCAGTCCGCGCAGCAAGCGTCCGACGCAGCTGCTCCAGCCGCTGCATGCCTGGAAGTCGGCTACGCCACGACCGCCGCGGCCGCGCCTCGGACGGCGCCACAGACATCGACGCGTCACGGACCACACGGCCGCCGGCAAGATGCAGCTCGGCATCGCATGCCTCCAGAATTTCCGGTCGCGGCTGATGCAGAACAGCAACCACTGTGAGTCCGGTGACGGTAGCCAGTTTGCGAAGCGACTGCATAACGTCCAGCGCAGTCGCCGCGTCAAGCCCGGTCGTCGGCTCGTCGCAAAACAACACCTGCACGCCTGGCAGCTCGATGAGCTCGATGCCGATGGAGACCCGCTTGCGTTCGCCGCCACTCACCCCGCGGTCGCCCCATGTGGCATCGCCGATCTTCGAGTCCTGCACGTGCTCCAGTGAGAGAAGCGAGAGCACCCTGTCCACTGCTTTGCGTCGCACTCGCGACGAAGGCAGCCGCGTCGCCGCCGCATGCTCTAGCACTTGCCGCACCGTCAGCTCCGGCACCATAATGTCAGCCTGTGGCACAAAGCCAGCCTTGCCGCTCATCTCCACCGAGCCAGACGTCAGCTGGATCCGCCCGAGCAGCGCGTCGAGCAGTGTTGACTTGCCTGCACCCGACGCACCCATCAGCGCAGTAACCGTGCCTGCGGCAAACGAACCAGAGACTCCGTGCAAAATGCGCTTCGAGACCCGCGCCGACCTCGGGGTGTCGACGACAACGTCGCGGAACTCGACGTTGGCCCCACGCCGCACCGGACCGTTGATGCCACTCGCTGGCAGCAGCGGCGTCATGGGGCTGGGGGTGGTTGTCACAGTGTGCCGCCGAGTTCGCCGCCAGCGCACCGCGTGCCATGCCCCGCATCCAAGGCCGAGGGCGACAACGAGAGCGAGGCTAATGACGGCCGGGAAGAGCTGAATCGGCGTCGCGCTCTCGGCGCCGCACACCATCAGCGTACCGCAATCAAACGTCCGCGCAATGCCTTTGGGCGAGTACACGCCCTCCGGCGTAGGCCCAAAGGTGAAAGCAAACGGGCCGTCAGGACAAGTCCATCCTGCCCAGCAAATCGAAAAGAACGCCCCGTTCTGGCAGATCATGCCGCTCTTACACACCGTCGTATCGTAGTCGCCGCTCCCAAACCAGTCAATGGGCGGCCTTGCAAAGCTCGGCATCGACGGAAGCGCGTTGGCAATGCCGGTCGCGTCCGACGCGTTCGGAAAGCCAACGCCGATCGCATCTGGGTCCAGGCCGTAGCCCTCGGTGACCGCGGAAGCATATGGCGAGGTGGCCTGGCAGACCACCGCAGTCAGCGGAAGCGTTGCCGTGCTCGGCATCTGCGTTGCGTTGGAGAGGACCGAGCAAACACCGTTGGTGTCGCAGGCGCCGACGCCGCAGTACGGCGGCACGTTCTGCCGTGAATCACTGACAGGATAGTGCCGCGACGCCACGCTAGGGTTGCAGATCGCGCCTAGCGCCGCCTTGCACTGAGCCGTGCGGTCGGCTCCGGCCAGCGGAAAACCGGCTGCAGAGAGCCGCGGGTAGTTGCCGCAAAGCAAGCGCCCGGGTTCGGGGCACCAGTCCGCCGGCGATCCGTCGCGCTCTGGGCCGGGTTGGACCGTAACAAGACACGGATACAGCGCCAGGATCTTGGCCACCCTTCCAGCAACACCATCATTGTACCGCTGCACCGCACACGCGCCCGTCCGGGCCAACGTGTTGTACATCCGCGCCACCCGTGCAAACGCAGCGCTGCAAGCCGAGCACGCGCACGGCACATCCATCAGAAAGATCGGGCCCGATCCACAGTCTGGCGCACGTAGACACGCCTCCAGACCCTCAGCAGCATCCGTGAGCGACGCATACATCTCTTCATCACATGCGTACAGCGCCGTGTTGTTGGCCGATGGCGGCAGAAAGGCAGCAGCCGTAGCCAACAGAACAGCAATGACGCAGAGGAGACGCACGAGGCCGGCCATGACCACCAGCGGCAAGCAATGCAACGCCTTGACCTCACCCGAGCAGAACCCAGTCTTACCCGCCAAGAGTAGCTTCGGGAGTGGGGTGTAGTCGTCGTAGCTTGGGGACACGGGAGAGGCCATGGCGGCGGGAGGGGAGGGAATGGTGGCTGTAGCCAAGGATGGCGACGACACGCATGCGCCGCTGCGACATCGAGTGACCGAGACCATGGTTCGACTGTTCCTCACCATATCAGACTAGGGGGCTCGCAGAGATGTGCGAGTCGAGACTACAGGACTACATACCAATGCTATGGTACAAACGCAGGCTGCTGATGGTGGTAAGGATGTTCCAGTGATGCTCAGAGCTTCCACCGCGCGCACCGCGACGCGCAGCTTGCTGCAGCCGTGCACACGCGGCGCACGCGCCCGAGTGGAAACACCTGTAAGGCACCGTCACTCGTCCTCGCGTTGACAGGCGGGTGTGTGGAGGAATGGCTTTAGCACGTGATGCAGCCCCGAGTCTGGCCCTACCCCTGGCCCTGGTCCTGGCCCTGGCACTGGTTCTTGCGCCACGGCCGGTCTCCGCCGCCACATCGAGCGAGTGCAAGACATGGACGGCGGGGCCTATCCAGTTTAACGTGGGTGTGGGCGGTGAGCGAGTCATCGTGCCGACGCCTAGAGCTGACAACGTGTGGTGGGTAGCGGTGATGGACGCGTGCACCGGTGCTGTGATCGGGAACGTGTCAATGGCTGGTGTGCTGCCAGATGCGACGGCTAGCAACTGCCCCTCGCTCGCCTGGTCTGCCCAATACGTCGGTTTGGTCGGTTCCGGTGCTACGGCTGTTCGCGCTATGGTCATGTTCCAGTGCGCAGGCTACAATCCCGGGCCGACGGCCTATGTTGTGGCTCTCGATCCTCTCGCGCAGGTTGTGGCATGGCATGTTGCGCTCGAGACCTACGGGTTCTACGGATACGCCGAGCCCATCAGTGGCGGGGCTCGAGTGGTGATCACACTCGCTGGTGCGAGTGCGCTCGATGCGCAAACCGGTGCCAAGGTATGGGCGCTCAACCAAGCCGACTTTGCCGCTGCCGGTTGCCTGCCGCTCCAGGCGGTTGCCCTCGATGCGGAGACAGTGGCGTTCTCGTGCGTGTCGCCATCTGTGGCAGCAGCGGGGCCGGCCTCGCCGATGGCATCGATCCTGGCGTTGGCGGCGGCAACCGGCAGCATTCGTTGGGCAACGCCGCTACCACTGCTTGTGCAAAGCCCGCCCGAGATTACTATCGGCGGTCTGCCGCAGCCGTCGATGCTGGTGGTGAGCACTGGTGTTCTGCTGCCGAACACAACCGACCTTACGTTTCAGATTCTGGCCATCAACACGGCGTCCGGACAAGTGATGGCCCGCTCGCCGCCGCTCGAGGCGGGCGTCACTGCCTTCTCGTCGCTCGCGCCGTGGTCGGATGACGCAACGATAGTGATGGAGCTCTCGCCAACTCACTTCATTCCGACAAACGGTAACAGCTCGTGCTCGGCGCTACTCCGCGGATACAAGCTGAGCGATGAGAACCTGATCCCAGTATGGGACTCGGACGCGTTAATGTGGACAGGCAGTGCGTCGGAGGAAGAGTGCTCAGCGCAAGCCTTTCGCCCTGCAGTCGCGATCGCACGCTGGGGCAAGTCGTATGTGCTCTCATTTGTCGACTTTGCGGAAGGCGAGCTCGCCACCTACTCGCTTGGCCTCATCGACGGAAGCTCGCACAAGGTGCTTGGATCAGCGTCGCTTCTTTCTCTCAACAGGCCCGGCGCGCCAACCACGTTCACTCGCACCGTTGGCCTCACGCCGACGGGCATCGTCGCTGTCGTCGGAAGTGACACCGCGTCGCTGCCGTGGACCGGCTTTTCATCCAAGTGACTGCCGTCGTTCCAAAATTTTCAACTTTTCCGAGGAGCGCGCCAAACGCAGCCAGGCGCAGAGGAACTCGCTTCTGCACACTGCTCTCTCTCAGCACTCGACACCAGCAGACGGTAGCGAGCGAGGTTATAGCTTAGAAAGTAGAGCAAGCAGCATGGCATCGCGCAGGACTCGCAAGCGGTCGTCTACCGAGGGCGCCGGGCCCGTGGCCGGCGAGGCGCAGGCGATCAGCGTGTCGATCCGGGTCCGCCCGCTCAACGCGCGCGAGGTGAAGGACGGGGCCGAGGTGGCTTGGCATCTCAACGAGACTACGATCCAGAGCGCCGACACGCCGTCGCCAATGGTGTTTACCTTTGACAACGTGTTTGGCATGGAGACGCCGACGGTCGAGGTGTACAACACCATGGCCGCGCCGATTGTCAAGTCGGCCATGGAGGGCATCAATGGCACCATCTTCGCCTACGGTCAGACGTCGTCCGGAAAGACGTACACCATGACTGGCTCTGACGAAACACCCGGTATCATCCCGGCTGCCATTGCTGACGTCTTCCAGTACGTGTCGAATCACCCTGAGCGGGTGTGGACCATCTCGGTCTCATACCTCGAGATCTACAACGAGGTCATCCAGGACCTTCTCAACCACGCCGGCAAGAACCTCCGTGTCCGCCAGGACATCGAGCACGGCATCTTTGTCAAAGGCCTGACCCAGGAAATCGCCACGTCGGCTGACCAGGTGCTTGAGGTTATGCGCAAGGGTGAGGCTCACCGCCACTTCTCGTCGACCCAGATGAACCACGAGTCGTCACGCTCGCACGCTGTCTTCAAGGTTGTCATCAAGTCGTGGGCGGCTGACGATCCCAACGCTACGTCGGCTGACGGCGCAGGCGCTGTCATGCGCGTCTCGTCGCTCAACCTCGTCGATCTGGCTGGATCGGAGCGCGCCCGCAAGACCGGCGCCAACAAGGTCCAGCTCAAGGAGGGAGGCCACATCAACACCTCGCTCCTCAACCTCGGCACAGTCATTCACAAGCTCTCTCGCGGCGAGTCGCATATTCCGTACCGAAACTCCAAGCTCACTCGCATTCTTCAGCCGTCGCTCGGCGGCAACTCGCGGACCGCCATCATCTGCAACATCACCCCGGCCAATGTCCACGAGTCAGAGACCGTCTCGACGCTCAACTTTGCCGCGTCGGCCAAGCGAATCAAGAACAAGCCCATCCTCAATGAGGTCCTTGACGACGCCGCAAAGCTCCGCAAGCGCGAGGCCGAGATCAAGGCCCTTCGTGCGGCTCTTGAAGAGCGCGACGCTGGATCGCTTCCGAACGTGCTTGCCGAAAAGGCCTCGCTGGCCGAGGCTCTCGCCGAGGAGCAGGCAAACGCCAAAAAGCTCCGCTCCAAGGTTGATGCCCTGTCCAAGCTGGTGGTGTTTGGTGGCAACGCGCCGGCGACTCCGACGCGTGCCGTTGAGGAGCAGGCCGATGCCGATGAGTCGACACTTTCAGCACCTGCGTTGGCGGCTTTGGCCGTCAACACTCCTGCTCGTGCTTCCCGGCGCGAGACCTGGTGCCCGTCGGCTGCCGCTGCGGCATTCTTCTCGCCGCTCAAGCTTCCGCAGGCGCAGGCTCTCACCACCGCCGACCGTAACGAGGCGTACCTCCGCGATCTCGCCGAGCTTCGGACTTACAACTCGGCGCTCGAGGAGGAGGTGGGGACGCTTGTCGGCGATCTCGAGAACATGTCTGACTTTGCTGAGACCTTTGCCTCAGACCTCCGAGCTGCCCTCGACGACAACGCAACGCTGACGGCCAAGATTGCCGAGCTGGAGACCAAGGTGGCGAGCCAGGAAGAGACCATTGCCCACGCGGACGAGCTTGTGGCAGCGCTCACTACTGAGACTCAGGAGCTCGATGCGGCGGCTGAGGCTGCGCGCGAGGCTGCTGAGGAGCTTGGTAGCCAGCTTGAGGCTGCAGCGGCCGATGCCTCGCAGGCTCAGGCCGAGCTTGCCGAGCTGACAGAGACCCACAGTGAGCTCCAGCAAGAGCTCATTGCGGTTCGGGCGTCCGCGGACGTGGCATCCAAGAACCACGAAGGCGTCGCCGCCGAGCTGGCCGAGGTTCAGACCCAGCTTGCCGACGCACTTGTCAAGGCTACCGAGGCCGAGCGCGAGGCTAAGGAGGCCAAGGCGAGCGCGTCGAGCCTGCAGCTTGAGGTTAATGCTGGCCATGTGGCGCACCTTGAGGCCAAGGATGAGGCTGCCAGGGCTACTGATGCACTCAACAAGCGGCTGGCTAACGCGCTCAACGAGCTTGCCGCACTCAAGAAGGAACTCAAGGCCAGCAAGTCGGACGACGGCTCGGCGCAGCGGCGCGAGATGTCGCTTCGCAAGGACCTCGACAAGACCAAGGCCAAGCTGGCCACGCTGGAGGACAAGCTCAAGGAGACGCGCGCCCAGCGGTCTGCGGCCGAGAGCGAGGCCCAGGCCAAGGCCAAGGCTGTCAAGAGTCTGGAAGCTGAGCTAGCAGCGGCGACGACGGCGCTGGAGAAGGCGAACGAGCAGGTGACCCGGTCGGCGACGGCGTCCAAGTCGTCGTCGATGTCGGTGACCAATCTCGAGAAGGAGGTCGCGGCTCTCAAGAAGACGGCAACCAAGGCCGAGGCCGCGGCCGCCGCCGCAATTGCTGACGCCAACGCAGCCAAGGCCAAGGCCGATGAGCTCAAGGAGGCGGCAGCTGGCGCGCGGAAGGAGGCTGCAGCAGTGGCTGCTGAGCTCGCGGCCGAGCAGAGTGCCAAGGCCTCTGCCGAGGCGCTCGCAGCGAGCAAAGCAGCCAAGCTTAACGAGGTTGCCGCCGAGTTGAAGGAGGTTGAGGCGACAGCGACGATGCAGGCGCGCCAGCTTGCAGCAGCCAACATGCGGGTGACAGAGCTCGAGACGGCGCTAGAGGCCGCCGAGGCCAAGGCCGACGAGGCCATGGTGGCGGCTCAGGCCGCAGCTGAGGAGGCGGCCGAGGCGACTGCCAAGGTGGCCGAGGCGACCGAGGCCATGGAGGGCCAGGCGCCGACGCTTGACTCGCTGCGGGCACAAATTGATGAGCTCAAGGCCGAAGTGCGCGAGAAGCGGCACATGGCGTTTGAGGCCAAGCAGGCGGTGCTCGAGCTCGAGTCGGCGGCGGCGGCGGCCGAGGAGGCCGAGCAGAGCTCGATGGCTGCCGACGAGCGGACTCGTCAGCTGGAAGCCGAGCTTGCGGAGCTGCAGGCGACGCATGCGTCGGTCGTGTCCGAGATGACTGAGATGTCATTCTCGCTCGAGGAGCACAAGGCGTCGCTGGAGCAGGCCGAGGAGATGATGACCAATGCCATGACCCGCGAGGCCGAGCTCGAGGCGCAGATTGCCGAGCTGAAGGCCAACTCCGGCAAGTCGGAGCTTGTTGCCGAGCTCACGGCGAGCAACGCGGCGCTGGAGGCCGAGCTCGCGCAGGTGAAGAGCGCTGTCGCAAGCGAGGTTACAACCGTGCCGCTGGCAATCTCGCCCGAGAGCGAGGAGCAGATTTCGGCGCTGAAGGCCGAGCTGGCCGAGCGCGATGCTCAGCTCGCCGAGGTGGTGGCCGAGGTGGAGTCACAGATTGAGAGTGTGATTGCGTCCGAAGAGGCGAACAACAAGCTGCTGCAAAAGGTGAGTGATCTCGAGACAACGCTGACCGACCGGAAGCAGGCACTCGAGTCGGCGCACGCGTCGATGGCCGAGTCAATGCGGGCAGTTAACGAGCTCCAGCTCGAAAAGTCGAGCCTGGAGAACCTGCTGGCTGAGAAGGAGGAGCAGGTGGAGGCCATCACCGCTGAGCTGGAGAACGCGCTCAACGCGCAGCCGGCCGAAGTCAACCACTTGCACAAGCTGGAGGTGGCGCTCACGCAGGCCGAGTCTGAGAACAAGTCGCTGCTCCTCCAGATCGAGCAGATGAACAAGCGGCAGCGCGACGAGGCGCGGTCGTTCGGCAATTCTGGCCGGCTCCGGCGGATGTCGCTGGGCATGGACGACGACGCGCTGACGTCGGCGCTCCAGGACGAGATCATGCAGCTCAACTCGGAGGTGGCCAAGCTCCGCGAGGAGATCCAGACCAAGGCGATGGAGAAGATGAGCGAGACGTCCAAGCTGCGGACCACCGAGTCGCATGTCCACCAGCTTCAGCTGGCCAATACCAAGCTGACCAACGAGCTCAACCTGGTTCGGGAGGAGATGGCCCAGCTCCGGCAGGCTTCGGGGCCAACAACCGGCTCGCCGGCTGGTGCGGCCAAGGCGTCCAAGGGCGCCGCCCTCCGCGACATCTCTAACACCCCGACCCGCGGAACTGATACACCGCTGTCCAAGTCGGAGACCCTTGGCCTTGCGGCTGGAACCGAGGTCTCTGCGCCGGCAACCCGGCAGCGGCGGATCGGCGCCGGGGTCGGCCCGGTCCGCACGCGCGAGAAGATCCGCCGGGTCGGGTCGACCGGCGGCGCCACGCGGGTGACCAAGCAGACCAAGTCCAAGTCGCGGCTGGGCCAGCTCGGCGCCACTGCGTCGGCTCGGTCCGTCACCACCACCGCTGCCGCCGGTGAGGGCGCCGAGGAGGGATGCAACCAGCAGTGATTGCCATGTGCACCTCGTAAACACGTGTAACCTGAGACTGTGGCGAGTGAGGAGAGATTTAACACTGTGCCGTCAGGCGGACGCCCATCATGTGCCGCTAGCTTCCTACACGAGTAGGACGTGTAGAGTGCGTGCACAATGGCTGCGTGGGTGTGAGATTAGCTGTCGCCAACAGTGGCTTGGTGCGAGGTGACACAACTGATCAGCAACACTCGATCCGAGCGACCAAGGCCGGCCGCAGCCCGCAATAATGCCGCGGCGGGATGGCAAGCAACCCATGAGCTAACAGCATAGTATAGCACATGATCAGACGCTTGCCCGGCCTCACAAGTCCCAGTCCATCCAGGCGATGTAGACGAGGCCGGCGGCGGTAGCCGAGACGATGGTCAGCTCCGCGAGATGTGCCCACAAGGGGAGGACCGGCCTCGGCTCATCAGTCTCATGCGGAGCCACATCATAGATGGAAGTAACGACAGGCTCGTCATCGTCCGACTCTGGCGAAGCTGCCCTCTGTTGTGATGATGGTGGTGTCGTGGCCGGTCGGCGGGGCTGGCAGCCGGGTGATGGGAGAGGGGATGGGCGATGGTGGGATGTGGGATGGGCAGATGGAGAACTCCATCAGTGTGTCTTACTCATCACGGGGAGGGGGGGAGGGGGAGGGGGGGAAGGGAGGGAGGGGCACGAGTCGGCGTCACACACGAGCACACGCATGGTGCGAGATGCCGGAGCTGCGGCGGGCCAAGGGCACGCGAGAGAGCGATTGACCGCGGCGAGGTTTGAAGACGGTGGCGATGTATGAAGATGGGTGGTGATAGTGATGGTGGTAGCCGTGGTGATGGTGGTGGCGGTGGTGGCGGTGGCCGGGCACGTGCCTGGCGGGGGGTGGTGGCGGGGGGTTGCGGGGGTGGGAACCACACTGTCGACGACTACATGACGACGCAGCATGATGCACAGCAGCCCTCCTTGTACTGTTTCTGTGCCTTTGTCCCGCCGTTGGGTAGCAGGGCGTCGCTCTCGTGGGCGGCAGGCGGGGCGTCTCCGGCGGAGGCGGCATCCACCACCGAGGGCATGGGCTGGTAGACGACGACGGGTGCAGGCGGAGCGGCAAAGGCAGCGGCAGGTGGGACATAACCCTCGTCGTCGGTGGTGTAGTCGGCGTCGGGTGCCGCCCAGGCACCGTACTCTTCCACCTCAGATGACTCGGACATCCTGGTCTGGCCTGCCTGTCGCAAAGTAGAGTCGGGTGACCGCCGCTTCGCCGCTCGTCGCCGGCGGGCTGGCTGGCTGTGGAGGGCGAAAAAGCACTGTGTGTTACACACGCACGGGCTGGGCAAAGCACGGCGAGGCAGGAGGTGGGAGGTCAGTAGAAGGACTAGTTGTCGAGATATGGCTTGACAACGTTGTTGACAAAGTCATCGATGTCGATCTGCATGTGCTCGCCGGGAGTGTCGAGGAGGAGAAGGCGCGACGAGTTGTTGAGCTCCTGCAAGCCGATCCAGTCCTCCTGGTACAGCGGAGTCTCGGTCATGGGCACGATGCGGTCCATGGTGCCGAGGGCATAGCGGCCAAAGTGCTCCGATGCGCGCGGGATGACAATGGTGTCGTTGTTGAAGCGGACGAGGATGAGCTTGTTGAGCGTCAGCAAGTTTGCTTTGTACAGCGGGTTCTTCTCGGCGCGTTGGTTGTTGATGTCGGCCATGTACTGGTTGTACTTGAGGTAGGCGTCGTAGTCAAACGGATCGAGAAAGTACTGTGCCTGCACAATGTGATCGCGGATCCACGGGAGGTAGACTCCCATGCCGGCAAGCTTAGCGGCGTTCTGGCACAGCTCCGACGTCGGTTCGCAGTTGGGAATCTCGGACACGCCCTGGTGCTGACCGCCGTAGGTGATGAGGTTATGCATGGGCGGGAGCTTGTGGGCACACCGCTCGACAACCCCACGCAGCAACTGGCCGCCCTGAGAGAAGCCGAGGAGGTTGAATCCGTTGGCGAGCTGGGGATCGTTGGCGATGTGGTCGCACACGGTTGCCACCTGCGAGTTCATGTTGCCAAAGAAGCCCGCAGCCGTGTCCTCGGCCGGCGATGATCCGATCATGACCGAGTAGATGTAGACTCCTGGGATGTGGTCCTTGATGATGCCGGCGATCATGTCCATCGAGTGCTTGGAGCAGCAGTTGTCGCCCATGCCTATTACCACGCCATGCATGCACAAACGCTCCTCCTGTGAGTGCCTCTCTCGCGCCCGCCCGCAACGCAACTCTGCCTCGGCATGGCAAGCACCCGGCAGGTCACGTACCGTGCCACATGACAATGGGCCGCGGAGTCTGGCCAGCATGCACAGACGCGGTGGCCAGGCCGCACGCCACGACGAGTGCAAGCCCAAGGAGAAGAGGGAGGCGCATGGTGGGTGACGTGTGTGGGGGGTGGCCGTAGTGGTGGGTGGGGACGGTCGTCTTGCGGGGCATGCGGGGGAGGCGGCGGGAGTTTGGTCGGGCCGAGGCGTGTTCCGCTCATGCTAATGATGGAGGCGGTTGCTATTTGCTGCTCAGTGCAAAGCTGCTGGTGGAGGGAGGCAGGCATCGCAGCAGCGAAGCGGCGTCGGCTCGCCCTTGATGGTGCGGACGATGGTGTGCGAGGAGCAGGTGGCGCAGAAGATGTCCAGGCAGACTCGGCAATGGTGGCGGCGGCGGAAGAGGCCGAACGGCTGGTTGCAGAGTTGGCAGGCCGAGACTGCCGAGTCTGGCACCCAGGCCGAGTCAGCGGCAAGGGAGGCATCAAGTAGGGCGCGCCACCGGTCGGGCTCGAGATGGGTCGAGTGGACGGACCAGAGGGCAGCTACGGTTTCGGCGGCGGCGGGCGCGACGCGCTGGAGCGCCATCTCCAGCACGGTAGCTTCGGTGCGGGCGTCATGGAGGGCGACGGTGGCGCCTTCGGCGGCGCGGCGGGCGGCATCAGTTGCCTCGGCCACAAATGAATCGTGGGCGTCTTGGATCTTAGCCTCACGGCTGAGGGCGCAGTGATATGCGTCGCGCATCTGGGTCAGCTCTTCGACGGCGGACTCGGAAGCAGCATCGCGGGCGCCCTTGAGCGCCGCAACCTCATCCTTGAGGGAAGCCGCCTTTTCCAGCGCTGCAGCTAGCTTTGCATTGAGAGTTGCGGCAACAACCTCTGCGGCCACATCCTGCTCGGCCATAACATCGGCCGCCGCCGCGAGCTCGGCGACATGTTCAGCCTCAATGCGGGCCAGTTCGCCATGCAGGGCGCCGAGCTCAGCCTGAGTGGCGGCCAGCGTCGAGGTTGTATCGGCAGCTTCAGCCTTCAGGCGAGCAATCTCAGCCGCGGCGGCAGCAGCAGCATCGTCACCATCCGCCGTGCGCCACAGCTCTGCCTGAAGTGTGGCCAGCTGCACAGCCATGGCGTCACCGTCGCTCTTGGCGCGATTCGGCTCGGACTCGGCTTCTGATACGGCCACGGCAGCTGCGGCTTTGGCGTGCTCCAGCTGATCGCGAAGTGCTGAGAGCTCGGCTTCGGCAGTCGTAGCCTTTTCAGCGGCGGCGGCTGCCTCAGCCTTGACCCGGCCCAGCTCGGCCTCGGCAGCAGTAGCCTTTTCAGTGGCGGCGGCCGCCTCAGCCTTGACCCGGCCCAGCTCATCGCGGACCTTGTAGCCTTTTCAGTGGCGGCGGCCGCCTCAGCCTTGACCTGGCCCAGCTCGGCCTCGGCAGCAGTAGCCTTTTCAGTGGCGGCGATCGCCTCATCTTTGGCCTGGCCCAGCTCATCGCGCAGGTCCTTCAGCTCCAACTCGACCTTGGCCTTGGCGTGCTCAAACTCATCAGCTGCAGCTTCAGCAGCTGCCATAGCTGCAGCTTGGATCTGATGTCGTTCCACTTCAAAGGCGGTCTTGGCAAGCCCAAACTCGGCCTCCGCCGCCTTCAGCTTTCCCCGCACATGCTCCACTTCAGCCCGCCCGGCCGCAGCCGCAGCCGCAGCCGCAGCCACGGTCTCGATGTACCGCGCGTGGAGCATCTGCAGGGCAGTGAGTCCGTTGGCGGCGACCGAGTCGCGCGGCACGTCGTCAGCCTTCATGATGACGTCCAGAACGCCGACGTTGCCGGAAAGGACCGCCACATGCAAGAGCGATGCGCCTGTCGATGTTGTCGCCTGCATATTCGACCGCCCATCAGCGACCAGCCGCTTCACGCACTCGGTGTGCCCGCCAAGGACTGCAAGCGCCAGCGGCGTCAGCCGTCCATGCCAAGTCCGCTGGTCCAGCGCTGCCGCCACGCGCTCACGATCCGGGTGCGCGAGAAGAACCTGCAACATCTCCAGCTCTCCGAGTGCTGCTGCCGCGTGTAACACATTCTGCCCGGCATGTCAACCATGTCGATGTCCGCTCCGGCCTCGAACAGTGCCAGCGCCACGCTCGAGTGCCCGCCGAGCACCGCAAGCATCAGCGGCGACCGCCCAGCCTCGTCACCGGCGTCGACCCACACAGCACACCCATCACCGCCGCACGACGCGCACGCCCCGCCGCGCGCAGCCTCGCGCACCGCCTGCTTCAGTGCATTCACATCGCCGGCCTCAGCCGCCGCATGCACTGCGCTTCCCGGCCCGCGCAGCGTGCACCGCCGCCCACCAGACACCGCCAGATCACCCGTCGCCTCGCCGGCTGCCCGGATCCCAAACACCCCGTCGCGCTCCATCGCTGCTGCCTCGAGCACCAGCCGCAGCGAGTCTCCGCCCGACGCCGGAAAGGCCGCCGGCCCGACAAGGACCTCGGACTCCCTCTCTTGATGCGAGACCACCCTTCTCCGCGCCGCACGCACCTCTGCCCGTCCGCCAGCCCGTCCCTGTGTCCGCATGCTCCTTGCCCTGCTCCGGAGCCTGCCTTCGCCTCCTCCCTCTGCCCCTGGCACCACCAGTCCACCCCCTTTCCGCCCTGCGCTCTCGCTCTGGCTCGTAGCCATCACACCCCGTGCTGCTCCGGTATGCCGCGAGGGGGACAAGTGCCTATGCCCGTGCCCGTTCCGTCAGTCGAGACGCCAGAGCCGCGAGCACCGACCTGACTCCCACCTCCGCGACACCCTCACCCTCCCTCGCACACTGCTCCCCGCCATTCCCAACCCCTCCACCAACCCCTGCCACCTCCGCCATGCTCCCCCCCTCATCGCTCGCTCTCACCCTCACCTTCATCCTTGCTGTCGCCCTCGCCATGGCCCCGCCGGTCTGGGCTGACCACGAGGAGGCCACGGTCTCGCCGTTTACATGTCCGCTCTGCGCGGCGTGTGTGGCCCTCCTCAATCCAGACTCTGGTCCATCCCTCTCGCCTCTGGCGCGTCTACTGGAGGACGTGCTCGGTGCTTCGCTCCGCGCTGGCTCAAACAAGCCAGGAGATGCGCTGGCGGCAGAGGTAGTGTGCGTCAAGCACGGTCTCTGCGCTGCCGACCACAACGCAGCCCATCGCCGACTGGAACAGGTGCTAATCGATGCTGCCCCGCACTCTCTGCATGGGCTCGAGAAAATGGACAGCTCTCGTGTGGCTGCCGCCATTGCTGCCGTCCGCCTTCGCAGAGCCTCGCTTGCCGCCGACTATGGCGTGGCGCACGGTCGCGACGCCGGCTGGGACCCACACCTTGCGCCGCTCTCCCATCACGCCACGACAAGCGAGATCGCAAGCGCAAGCTCCCCCGGCCAGCCGGCGGCGGCTACCCTTGCCGCCCACAAGGCACTACCGGACCTCTTTGCCGAGCTGATCGACGAGGGGATCGGAGGCGTCTTGGATGACGACGAGCCCAACTCCAGAGGAGGATAACGAGTTCATTTGGGCCCGGCCTGTGGCCTGCGGCTTAGGCCTTGGTCCGCTCCCGCTTACCACGACCGGGCTTGGCGCGAAGCGAGTTGGAGGAGCGAGGCGAGGCCTGCTGGGCGCCCGAGATAGAGACCGCGTCCTCTGAGCCCAGCGACGTCGAGCGCTGTTGTGGCGACTTGGAGCCGCGCGAGGATGGCTTGGCGTTTGCAGACCGGTTTGAACTTGTCCGAGCTGGCCGCCCCTTCTTTGTCCTCGGGCCTCTGGCAGCGGCCCCTGGGGACGAGGGGGAAACGTTCTTCGAGTTGGACCGCGAGTGCGTCCGCGACAGGTCAAAGTCCGAGTCCGGCGACTCCAAAAGCTCGCGGAAGAGCGGCTCCTTCAGCGCAGCAAGCTTAAACTCGGTCAGCGAGATCATCTCGTCCGCGTTGATGTCAAAGTCATGCAAGAACTGCTGCACAACCTGTGCCACGTTCGTCTTGCCCGTCAGCACCATGCCCTGCTCGAGCGAGGTGAGGAGGACGTGGAACTCCTCCGCAGAAATCTGTCCATCACCATTAATATCATACACGTTGAACGACATGTTGAGTTTCTCCTCAGGCGTCCCATGCGAGAGCACGGAGAGCCCCGTGCACAGCTCCTTGAGCGACACAGTGCCTGACCTATCCACGTCAAAGACCTGGAACACACGATCAATAAACGACTCCGAGTACTTTGGCAAGCCTGCAGACGACATGACCTGCCCAAACGACTCACGCGAAACCTCTCCCAGCTCGGCAACCTCGTAAAACCTCCGAGAGAGCAGCTCCAGCTCGTCCTTGGTAACTATCCCAATGCACCACCACCACCGCCCGTCCATGAGTCGCTAGCCCGAAATGCCCTGCCCAGACCAAGCTGTCGAAAAACGTCGCTACAGCCTGCTGCTTATCCACCCCGGCCTCGCAGGCCTACCCAACCACCTCTGGCCTCCCATGGCCGCCGTCTACGCCCATCACTTTTCCTGCGCTCCTCCCATCCCCGCTCCCATCCCCTTCTACACGCCTTCCTCCCCCTCCCCCCGTCCCGGCCCCTGACGAGCCAATGCCAACGTCACTTGCGAACGATCATCACCCCGCACGCGTGGGCGGGGGGTAGGGGGCAGGGGTGGGGGGACGTGTACAGACGTAGCACGACAGAACCCATCCAATAGAGGTCCATGTAGGTATACACTCTGGTATCCCGCCGTGCAAACGCCCATGCAGGGTACCTGGGGGCGGCTGTACGAGCCTTCCAAGCATGTGTGCGAGCCTTCACTGGCCGTTCCATGCGCGTCCTCCACCACGCCCGCCAGACTCGCCGCACCACCGCAACACTCCGTGGCTGCACTCACACACACACACACACACACACACACACACACACACACACACACACGGCGTACATCGTGTCGTGTTCTCTAGCTGCTCTATCTCCTTTCCAGAGATTCGTCGTGGAATGCTTGACTGCTTGGGTGGATCCGCCTGTGTACGGCTCGAGCCGCAACCCATGTTTCAAGGCCTCCCAAGCGACGAGCGTTGCCTGCTGCCGTTGATTTACGGTTTCCTCTCCGGTTTCGAGCTAGTCGTTGCAACGGCAGACCGGCAACTGCAAAGGAAGGGGGGGGGACAAGGCCCGAGCAAAGTTGACCACGCGCTTACACACAAACACACTGGCAACAACAGTTCATGGTCATGATGTTTACTGACAGGGGGAGGAGGGCTCACCACCTGTGTGGGTGCTCGATGTCCCAGAGAATGGCGTCCGAAACCTCGCGGTACGGCAGGATCTGGCCAAAGCACTCCATCAGCAGCGGCTCTTCCATAAACGCCGTGGCGTACTGCTGAAAGGTGATGACCGACGATGAGTCAACGCCCTTGGTAAACTTGCGGAAAGTGAGGTCGAGCAGCAGATTGAGGTTCGTGTTGTCGGCGTCCACATCAAAGTCGTCGACGTCCGACGACAGCGACGACTTGAGCAGTAGCCGCGCCTCATCGCGGGTGATGACCCCGTTCTCGTTGAGATCATACACCCGATAGCAAAAGTTGAGCAGCGCCTCGGTCGAGCCCTTGAGCATTACCGACAGCGCCTCCACAAACTCGGAGAACTCGATCGAGTTGGACTTGGACTTGTCGATCACTCGCCAGATCGAGTCGATCATAAACAAGTCGTCCACGTCCAGGTCTTCGATCATAATCTGCCGAAAGTCTTGTCGCGTCAGCTTAGTGTAGGTGTTCTTGATCCCAAACCGCCGCATGATCGCATCCAGCTCCTTCTCGGTGACTACCCGCCGCCCGCCCGCCCGCCGTGCCACCGTTAAGTCCTCGCGCCACCACACACACACACACACACACCACAGTAACGCCCAGCTGCCCTATCTTCCTCCCCACAACCCGCTCGCCACTCTTCACAAGCGCCACAACCCGCCCCATCTCCCTTCCGGCTCCTGCCCGCTGCCCGTCTGCCCGGCCCCTCTGCCGCCGCCCACAGCCCACCATACAGTTCATGTCCGGCATGGCCGCAATCTCACGGAGAGCCTCCTCGCGCTGCCTCGGCGACTCGTCGACTTCGTCATGTCTGTTCTTCAACCGCTCGTACTCGCGCTTCAGCGCCTCGCGGTCCATGGCTGCTCCTGTACCAACCAAGAGTGAGCCGTTGTCGTCTCACTGTCTCGCTGCTCCTGCTGTTTCACCGTCTCGCCGTCCCACCGTCCCGCCTCGACCCGACTCCAGCCGCACGGGCATACAAGCGCGCGTGCTCCAGAACCATCGCCCTCACTTCCATAGCCACCCAATTTCGACCCAACATCCATCCACATCAAGCCATCTCACTCTTTCCAGCCATCCCCTCCCCCTCCTCTCCCTTCCATCTCCACATCCCGAGTCACTTTGCCACCACACGAAACATCGCCACGAACATTCATTTTGAACAACAGTAGAAACAGAACCAATGCGAGCCATGCAGCCTCCCAACTCACCATTAATTCATTGTTCCAATAATCGTAGCGGTCTCCCGTTTCGTTCATCTTTGAACGAACACCACCACTCAGGCGATACACTTCACTCGCACACAACTACACCCTCAACACTCGACTCTCCACCCCCTCCACCCCCTCTTGCCGCTTGGCGTACTCTCTGGTGATCGTGGTGTGCTCTCTTTGGCTGGGTGGAAGGATGCACGCGCGGGCGAAGAGCGCATGCCGCAAACGACAAAGAACCGCGTCGCCTGAACTCGTCCAAAGCGCCGACCACGACGACGGCGAGTCTTTGTCGTCGTCCATAGTTGCCACAGGGTGCGGCGAGTGCTCGGGCGCCCGCAAGCTGCTGCGCCCTTTGTCGTTTCCAGCTCGGCCGTTCGGATCACACATGCTGCCGCCACGCCCGCATAAGATGCGCAAGCCGCTCGCTGACCTCCCGCGTGCCGCAGGCCCACACAGCCCAGGTCAAGATACAGGCGGGCGCAAGCGCGGCCGATCGCAGCTGGACGACAGTTTGAGCTTGCACTCGGACGATGAGGCCGAGATGGTGGTCTGGCGCGCAAAGCCGTCGGACTCGAGCCCAAGCGCTCTCCCGCTCGCCGCGCCCGACGACATGGATCTTGTGCGTCCAGCCAAGCGCCATGCTCCGCTGAGGGGCATGGATCTTGCGCCGCCGCTCTCATCTTCGCTCCGCGGTGCCGTCCCGCCGCGGCCGTCACTCTCGCCGGTCCCACCGCCGACCCAGCAGGTCTACTCGGGCGTCAATGCGCTCCTCCACCAGCTCCATGCCGAGCGGACCGAGCGCGGCCTCTGCGCTGCCAAGGTCCGCCTGCTCACGAGCTCGTCGACCACTCCGCGCGCTCCGCGCCTCTCACTCCTCTCGACACCGGCCGCCGCCGCCGCCGCCGCCTCACGCCCGCTGCGCCCTTCTGAGCCCCGCCGCCACACGTGGGACGATCTTGGGCCGGGCGTCCGTCTTGCCGACACAGAGCCGTAGGCCTGTCCCCTACAGCCTGCATCCGACAACACCACCAATGCCGTCGTCGACGAGCCGCCGAGCGCCGAATGAACTCCGACATCGTACCCTCACGCCTGCCGCCCGCCGCCCGCCGCCCGCCGACTTGGCGCCAAACACCTCACCCATCACCCCCACCCACCAAACACACACACACACACGCACTCACAAAGACAGGAGTATGCACGGCCGCCGAGCCCCCATTCCGCTCCGCTCACGCACCGCCCGCCCCGGACGGGCCTCGCTCCTCACCCCGCTCCGGCCTGGTACGCATGCCCCACGCCGCCGTCTTACCACCACACACCCTGCTCCTCCCACTCACCGCACCCCCTATCCCTGCATCCAGTCACACCTGCCCGGGACCAGCGGTCGTTGTTTGACTCGGGTGACTATGACGCTGCCCGTCCACCCACAGCGTCGGCCAAGCCGTCATCAGCCACCTTTCGCTCGGGCCTCCGGCCGCCAACCCCTCCGCGAGTGCTCCCGCCACTCAATGCCGGACCAGCAGGCGCTCTTCCGCCGCTTGGCAGCTCATCAGCTCTACCACCTGTCCGGAGCACCGATCGCTCACAACGTCCGATCCTCCGCGGCTCAAGGCGGAAGCTTCCGCCGCAGGCTCGCCCGTCGGCTGCCGCCCGTGCCCTGCCGCCGCCGCGCAAGCTCGCGCCGCCACCGCCGCAAACTCCGTCACCGCCCTCAGACGAGCGTCCTCTGGGTGCAAGTGGAAGCCCGGCCAAGCGGCCGGCTGTGCCTGTTCGACGCGCCGAGCCCGAGCCCGAGCCCGAGCCCGAGCTCACGGCCTGGATGGCACGCCTTGCTGACCTCGCAACCGACCTCGCCACACCTGGACCGCCGGGCGCCACTGAGGCGCTGGCTCGCGAGGTAGCTGCATTTGGCGAGTGGGCCCGTGACGTCGAGGCAGCATGGTCTGACGACGAGCGCCATACTGTCCTGCGGGCGCTCTTTGATCTCGTAGCGCTCGACGACGGGCACATCCTTGTCCCACTCGGCCTCACCATCCTGGCGCTCGGCTACTCGCTGCCTGTTGTGGTGCTGAACGCGTCCAAGCTCCTGTTTCGGCTCTCCAAGAAAGAAGCCAACGACACGCACTTTGCGGCCAACGCGGCAAGCGCTAGCGAGCTTGTCGAGACCGTAGCAAGAGCGCCGCTCGGCTCGTCGACCGCGCTCTTTGCGCTCGGCACGCTCAAGAACGTGTGCGCCGGCTCCAAAACCGTCCTCAAGGCTGTCCTTCGTGCCGAGCTCACCAGTGTGCTTGCCGATCTCGTCTCGCCGGCGACGGTGGCAGAGCTCATCGCACAGGCCGAGAACGATGGCGAGGCGCGTGCCGGTCAGACGCTGGTCCAAGTCACCGCACTGTTGCGGACATGCCTCAACCTCAACGCCGCCGTCGAACTTGTGGTCGGCGCGGGCGTCCTGCCCTCGCTTGTCGCCCTCCTTGACCGCTTTGCCAAGCATTCGGAGCTGAGCCTCAACGTGGCGCGGGTCCTGTCCAAGGCCTCGCTCCTGGCAGGTGCCGCCGACGAGCTGGCGCGCGACGCAAGCGGGCTAGGCAAGACTATGCTACGCGTGCTGCGGAGCCAGGCGCAGCGCCATCCGCTTGTTGTCCGCCTCGCTTTTGCGCTCGGCAACGTGACGACCCAGCGGCCGGCGGTGTGTGCGGCGCTGGGCAGCCGCCGCTTTGTGAGTGGACTCCTCTCCGCCATCGACCGCTACGTAGCAAGCCACGAGCAGCTGACTGCGGCCGATAGCAGCTCCGATGACGACACCGCGCGCGCAGAGCGGCTGGCACTGGAGGAGGTGCTGGTCAAGGTCGTCCGGCTGACCGCAAACTTGTGCGTCGACCACGCGGTTGGCGAGCGGGTTGCGTGCGCGTCGCAGCTGGAGCGCGTCCTCGACCTGATGGAGCGGCTGGCAGTGGAGAACTCGGAGGAGCTTGTGCTCAATTGCGTGGCGCTTGTTACCAACGTCTCGTTCTTTGCCCAGTCCGAGGCGAGCGAAGGCAACGTGGTGCTGGCAGGCCGGGCGCGTGTGGTCCGCCTGTTGCTTCCGCTCCTGCTGCAGCCCAACTGGGAGATGGTGTACCACGTGGCGCGGGCGTACGGCAACTTTTCGCGATTTGAAGACATGCGTGTGCTGATGGCCAAGCTGCGCGCCGACGAGGCCATGGCTGTTCTCCTCGACTCTGACATCGACGACGTGGTTTTTGCCGTTGCTGGCGTCGTCACCAACCTGCAGGCGTCGCCGGCGTCCAAGGCTGCGCTGCAGCAGCACGGCGGCGTTGATGCGCTCATCCGCGTCGTGGGCTCGAAAGCCGCCGACGCCGATCTGCTCGACGCTCCGTCAGCGCTCCGGGTTCTCGACGTTGCGTGCAAGGCGCTGTACAACTTTGGCCACAAGAACAGCCAGTGGCCGTTCTCGGCGGCCCAGGCCGCGGCGCTCGAGGCCTCGCTCACCGCGCTCCTCGAGCGGGTGGAGCAGCGCGATCTCGCTCCCGATACCTCGCCCGCAGCCACCGCTGCTGCCTGCTTTGCCATGGTCGGCTACAAGTTGCTCGAGATGGTCGAGGCCGTTGTCCACCCACCCGCACCCGCCAGCCCCGCCGCCACTCCCAACTAGCACTGCTGTTAAACATCGCCTCCCCACAATTAACGATCGCGCCCGCCACGAGTCGCACCCCTTTGGCCAGGTCTGAGCTGAGCTGGGCGACACCTCACTCCCCACCCGCATCATCATGAAGGTCGCCGCGATTGTCGTCCTTGCCCTCTGCGCTCTCCCGCTCCTTGCCTCTGCCGGCGGTGTGACCCTCACCCCGGACAACTTTGACTCTGTTCTCGACGGCTCCAAGCACGTCTTTGTCGGTACGCCACCCCCTCCCCCCTCCCCCCCCCCTCTTCTCCCAGCTGACAACAGGTCGCGTCGGAGGAACCATTTTCTTCGCTTGCTGAGGTCACCGACAGGCACATGCCCGTCCCCACACAGCCCCCACACACACACACACACGCACACACACCCTCCCCTCCGCCCCACACTCATAGGCATGCGGTGGGAGATGGTGTACGACAGAGTTCTTTGCGCCGTGGTGCGGCCACTGCAAGAACCTCGCGCCCGAGTGGGAGAAGCTCGGCGAGACCTTTGCCCGCCACTCGTCCGAGGTGGTCATTGCCGCTGTGGATGCTGATGCTCATCGCGAGCTCGGCAGCCGGTTTGGTGTCTCGGGCTTCCCTACCCTCAAGTTCTTCCCCAAGGGCTCGACCGAGCCTGAGGACTACTCTGGCGGGCGGACGGCCGAGGATCTGGTGGCCTTTGTCAACTCGAAGACCGGCCTGTCGGAGAAGCTCAAGAAGAAGCCGACGGCCGTCGTCGAGCTGAACCAGGACAACTTTGACGACGTCGTTCTCAACGAGGACGCCTTTGTTCTTGTCGAGTTCTTTGCGCCGTGGTGCGGCCACTGCAAGGCCCTTGCGCCCGAGTGGGAGAAGGTGGCCAAGGCCTTTGCCAACGAGCCCAACTGCGTCGTCGCCGCCCTCGATGCCGACAAGCACCGCGAGATCGGCTCCAAGTACGATGTCTCGGGCTTCCCCACCATCAAGGCCTTTGCCAAGGACGACAAGTCCGGTGAGGAGAAGTACACTGGCGGCCGGACCGCCGACGACATTGTCGAGTACCTCAACACGCAGTGCGGCACCTTCCGCACCACCGACGGTTCGCTGACCTCGGCCGCCGGCCGCGTTGCCGAGCTCGACGAGCTCGCCGCCCAGTTCCTTGAGGCCGACGACGCCACCCGCGCTTCGCTTATCGACGCCGCCAAGGCCCTCTTTGAGTCGTACGACGGCGCCTTCCCCAAGGCCGCAAAGTTCTACTCGCAGGCCATGACCAAGATCGTGGCCCGCGGTGACGACTACGTCGAGACCGAGCCGGCTCGTCTCACCCGCATGATCGACTCGGGCTCGCTCACTGGCGCCAAGGTCGATGAGTTCACCCTCCGCCTCAACGTCCTCGCTGCCTTTACCGAGGCATAATTGTCCTCATACTCAAATCATCGCCCCCTAGTGAACGCTTGCGCTGCTCCTCTCCCCAACTCGCGACTTTCACGTGAATTTCACACGTTCCCCTGCGCCGCCGACGTCGCCGACGTCAGCAGCACAAGCTCACCTCGGAGCCAGCCAAGGCCAAGGCATTCCTCTCCCTCCTTCCCTCCCTCCCCACACACACACGTGACACGTTACTATGTACGCTCTGCACATGCTTATGGCAGCGGTTGCGCTCGCCACGCTCGTCGCTGCGGCCTACTCGGAGACAGTCCACCGGTATGAGCAGAACTGCGAGACCGGCGAGGTGACGCAGATTCCGGTCTCGGCGGGCGACGAGCTTCCGCTGACCACCTTCTCGACGCTGCATATGGGCAAAATCAAGCTTGTCCGCTCGCCGCGGCTCTTTGCCCGCAAGCGGGTGCTGCTCTTCTCGGTTGCCGCCGCCTACGAGCCCGGCGCAGACGTCCAGTTCAAGGACATGGTCCGCCAGGTCTACCACAACTACGATGATCTCGGCCTCGACGCCATCGTCATGGTCATGGCTTCGGATCCGTTTGCCAACAACGCCTTTACCCGCCACCATCACGAAGCCCCGCATCCCGAGGTGTGGACCACCGTGTCCGACGCCAACGGCGTCTTTGCCCGCGGCGCTGGCCTCGTCTGCCCGCACTTCGAGGAGGGCGCCAAGTCTGGCCTTCATCTCTTTGCCGCCGTCGTCAACAACAACGTCATCGAGTGGATCACCGTCGACCACGGCCACCAGCACGTCAACTCGCGCCCGGAGATGGTGGTCGACTACCTGCGCTCCCACCCGCGTCCGGCTCTTTAGTAACACCCCAGGCGCCGCGAGACGCTTTCTGTCTTTATTCACGCTGCCGAGCAGACTCACTGCGAGTAGTGCCGCTTGACCTCAGACTTGTTCTCAAACGTGCCCATCAGCCGCCCAGCCGCGTTCTGGTACGCCCACATAAAGCCGCCCACAAACCCGATCGAGCCTGCCATCACCATGGTCTGCATCCGGATCGGCTTGCCGATGGCCCAGCCAAACGGCAGCGAGAGCCCGGTCATCAGCGCCCACTTGGACACGTCGCCCATTGAAAAGTTGGCCACGGTCTCGGCCACATTCGGGGCCGCGTTGACCACTGTCCATCCATACCCCCACACCACACAGCCCGCAACCCACCCCACGACCACCACCACGACCACCACCACGACCACCACCACGACCACCAGAGCCAGAGCCAGAGCCAGAGCCACAACAAGCCACACACACACACACACACACACACACACACACACACACACATACCATGAGTCACATATCCTTCCCCCACCTCCCTCTCCGTCCCCTTCCCCCTCCCCCCTCCCCCCCCTTGCCACTCCCTCCTCTCCACAATCGCCGCTCCTTCCCACCGTTTAG